GCCCTCTGAAGCCACATCTTGCCTCTTCAGATGAGGATAGTGAGGCGCAGAGAAAGCCTAAGTTTACGTGGCCCGTCAGCGGGGTGGGTGGAACCGGAACCGTCTGACTCTGAAGCTCACTGCCGTCCTCCACTCTGCTCCTCACCGGCTCCTTCCAGGGCACCCCCCCACCACTGTTCTTATGTAAACTCAGCCAGGAAGTTCTAATGTGCTGGCTCTTTTGTAACTATATATCTCGGGTATGTTTTTGGCCCTGACAAACTGTAGTGGGGAAATATAAAGATAGCAGAGTCGGTACAAGGCTGAGTAATTAGAGAGAGGTCTGTGCTCGGGCGTGGGTTGACTGAAGTTGCTTCCAAGAGGTTATGCCTCAGATGCAGGGAGAACAGGGCAGGGCTGGAGGCTCAGGGCGCCCTGCAGCATCTGGCCGCGGATTCCCACTGTCTCCACCCGCCCCGTCCTGCTCCCATGTGTCACGGCTGCCCGGTGGCCACCCTAGGCAGGCTCAGTAAAGAACATTCAGAAATCTCTGTGGTCCTATTAGTCAATGTCATAAAATAAAATAAGATAAGAGATGATAAAATAAAATACAAAACGCTCAGAGGCCAGCCCTCTGCAGCCTAGCCCACATCCAGGGCCACAGCTGCTGCCCCTCAGGGACGTCTTCTCAGACCTGGCCCAGCGAAGTCCACGGCAGAGCTCCCGCCAGAGAAACCACGCGCCCAACCCTCGCCCAGGTCTACCTCCACTGCTGTGTGACCTTAGCCCAGTCATTTGACCTTCCGGGCTCTGGTTTCTCTGTGACTCTCCCTCCCCCGCCCCCCGCTCTTTGACCTCTCACACTGGCCAAATTATTCCGTAAAAAAAGAACACAGGGTTCTTTGAGCTCTTTGGAGAGACCACATAAATGCAAAGCATTATTAGCATCATTACTATTAAATATTAATAATGACATTAGCATTGCCTATTATAAACCTGAAAAAGAAGCTCCAAGAGCCCCGGGTAGAAAAGGCTAAGAGAATAATTAGGCCCTTCAGGCCACAGACGCCTTTGGGCCCTCCAGTGAAATTAGAAAGGCAAATACAGGCAGAGTACCTCGACTGCCCTCCCGCACCCCCGCTCAGTTCCACGTGGCTCCTCCCAGCCCTGCAAAGGCCTTGTTCTGCCCAGCCCCCTGCAGCCCGTGCCAGGACCTCACTCTCACCTCCACTCTACCTGTCCAGGCCTAGTGCGAGATGCGCCCCCACCCCAGCCGAGACCGCCACCCACTCCCAGCTCCCTCCCCCACCACCATCTGAGCTCTTACAGTGGTCATTCCCCTCCACTCACCTCACTGCCAGCCAACCAGATTCACCGAGTCTCCATCATTTTGTGCTAAGCAGGAGGGGGTGCTGGGAAAATAGTGGCAACGATGAGATAGCCACTGCCTTCAGACACTGCGCAGGGAGTAGCAATCAGGCTTGCGTGTGACACTTGGCTAAGTGTTCAAACAGTGCTAAGTAGGAGTAGGGTTATTCCCATTTTACAGACGAGGAAATACATTCCCCCTTCAGTTAAGTGTGCTTCAGTGACCTGCCCGATGTCATCCAGGTAGGAGTGACAGGGCTGAGGAGTCCAGTTCTCTTGACCACAAACCCTGCGCCATCTCAACCATCAGGGCAGAGAAGGGCCCGTAGCAGGCGCACATCCCTGCGCTGCACACGGGGAGGCTGGATGCCAACATGGCCCCGAGGGAAGAATAGACATTTATTGAGCACTTACTACGTGCTTGGTACCACGATAGATATTTCACATGTAATGCAACACTCACTTCCACTCGGTGAGGTTCTCCAGATGAGGAACCTGGAGCTTCACAGAGATAAGTGGCTGCCCAGGGCCATACAGCTCACGAGTAGCAGGTCAATGTGTTGAGTTGGTCTGAGTTCAGAGCTCTGCACAGCCTGCTTGTCGCTCTTCCCCACAGTTACAGGTGAACAGTTCTTGCACCACTATCGGGCTGCTTCCAGAAAGATTACAGGCCCTTTGAAGACAGACTACCTCCTATGGCCCTTGAATCCCCCACTGTTCCAGGCAGAGAAGCTGTTCCATACACGCATGGCCTCATGGGAGCTCTAGAGAAGAAGCAGAAGTCTGAAACCAGAGACAGAGGTGCTGGCAGCTAGAGAGGCCAGGAAAGGAGACGTGAGGCTGCGGCGGATGAGGAAAGATATCCGCATGGGTCTGAGCCCTCCCGGGGCCCTGGCAGGCCGCAGCTCCTCCCCACTGTCCCCAGGGGCCATGGATCTGGTGGGGCTGCTGGAGGCAGGAGCACACGGTCTCAGAAGGGTCGGTGGCCCTCAGGATGCTTTCTGGGAGTTCCCACTCTGGAGTCACCTCCTGTTCATAGGCAAATGAGCGGCCTTTCTTTGCCCCACCTGGGAGTCTGTGGAGACTCCACTTGGGGATGGGGTGTTCCTCTCTGTACAACATGGAGACACTGGTTAGCCACAGAGAGTGGCGGTGCCCCTTGTACTCAATTGTATTGGGGGGACCCTGGGGTCTGGCAGGCACCGCATCAAAGGAAACCGTCCTGTGCTCTGCTGTGCCCACCTCAGAAGGGCAGGCAGCAGACGGTGGGAGACACAGCACCGAGGTCAAACCATGATGCCGGGGCCAGGCCGGCAGCCTCCACTGTTTACTGTTCCCTGGGAGCGAGCCCCTGATCTCCCCGTGCACTGCTTGTGGGAGGAAAGCAGTGACAATAACACACGCTCCTTGGGCGGGCGATTTAGGTGAAACACTTAGCACGGCTCCTGACACATTGGACTGGAGACACTGAAATTGTTATTAATAATTTATGAAAAATTAGTGACATTATAAAACATTTTGGTCATTATCAAACTAATGGACCCCACAAGCAAACCTCAGCCCACCCCCCAATGTCCACCCACTCTTGTCAGAAGCAGGAGTGCCTCAGAGGCTGGTGGTGACCCCCAAAACCAACTACACCAGACTTAGGCGAGAGCCTCAAACTGGTGAGAAGACAAAACTTCGGGAAGTGTCTCCTGGGCCCAGGCCTCTGCTGAGCAAGTGCTCTCAGTTGTCGCTGCTTGCAGCTGCAGGAGCCCCCCGGGCGGGGCGGGATGGGGCAGATGGGCTGCAGAGGAATCTGAGAAGCTTTGAGACCTGAGGCTCAGGGTCACCTGAGCCAAGGTGCGGGGGAAGTGTGGCCCTCCTCAAGGACCCCGCCCTTGCCACAAAGTTAGTGGCTGTCCGAAAATAGTCACCAAAACAGCTGTCTCAATGTAAAGCAGCCCTTGCCGGCAGCTCCAAGCCTCGGCCCAGGTCAGCGGGCCCTCTGGCCCTCAGCCACACCACGGCAGGTGTGCCTCCCCTCGCACCGTTTTCTGCTGGGAGAGAACTCTAAGTCCTCTCTGCAGAGCCTGGGATGAGCCAGGCAGTGCTTGAGGGCAAGACCCACCACAGGAGCTCAGGGCCAATGCGCCAGCCCCAGGAAGACAGACAGACAGACAGACAGACACGGACAATGTGGGCAGAGGCAGGAAAGGAGAGGCGCCCGGGAGGGATTCGTGCAGAGGCACTCCAAGCTGAAAAAACGTCATTAGCACAGATGTCTCTCTATCTGAAACAAAGAAGACGTTCCCAGAGCTGGGAAAGCCCTTTGCAGGGGAGAAGAGGGATGGACGGACAGACAGGAGGAAAGAGAGCACAGGACCTGGGCAGGCATTCCGGGCCTTGGAGGCTGGGCCACTGGCACTCCCCGACACCACAGCTCCTCCTTTTCCAGGCTCTCCCACTCAGCCCGGGGCTCTCCCGGGCCCCTGCCGCCCCCTCCACTCCGGAAGACACATTGCCACACTCTGGGCTGGGCAGGCACAGCCATGTGAAACTCTGAGGCTGGCCTGGCCCCGCCAGCTGTTTCAGCACCTGGGCCGCTCACTGGTCATGTCCGTGTGAGCTGGACAGCAGGTGGACCAGAGGGGGCAAGGCAACAGTGGCAGCCTGACGGGACCGACTGCTGCCACAGATGGCTGGTCCCTCTGCTGCTGGGCACAGATCCTCTCTGCTCTCCCCACAACAGGGGCAGAGCGGGAAAGACAGTACCGGCCTGGGTAAGCACCCGGCCTCTCAGAGCTGGCAGCGTGAACTTGGCCCTTCAGGTTCCAAAGGGGCCCAGAGGGGACAGGGCACTCCGCCCAGCACACGGCCGATTAGCGAGCCCAGCCCACCCTCCAGACACTCACACCCCCACCCCAGTGGCACTGCTGGTTGATTAAAGATGGGTTCGGATCCATAGGTACTGATGTGGAGAGATGTTCAAGATCTATCAGAGTTAAAATATATTTTGCAAATCCTGATGTATTGTGTGATTCCCTTTTACAAAATGATACCAATAATCCACGTAATTATATACATGAAAATAATAAACCTGGAGGCATGTAACTCAGATTTGTTAAGAGACTTCTACCACCTATTTTATAGTGTCCTCTAATGTTTGGATATGTTGACAAAGAGCCGTGTTACTTTTATCCGGGAAACAATAAAGAATGTGCGGGGTGGGCTGAGAAGGAGCCCCTATATCCCACTGGCCCTGCACAGCAAGCTGGAGATTTCTGATTTCCATCCCTTCCACTGACATGGATTTCTAGGCAAACAAGGGGTTTGGCTCCCTGGGTCTCCAGGGTTGGAAGCACAAGAGCCACTTTCAGTTTCCTCTGCACCCCACCCCTCTGCAGCCCCGTCAGCTCTGGGCTGGGCTGGGGGTGGGCAGGCAGGCCAGACAGCGCCCGGGAGCTGAGCTGCCCATGCATTATGGAAGACAGCGGGTGCTCTGGCTGCTCCTTGGTCCTTAAATGACAGCAAATGAGGTAAAGCCAGAAGGGTGGGGACGGGAAGGGGGCGGGAGGGGGGCAGAGGAAGTCATCTCCAGGGCCCCCAAGCGTTGGCTGAGGACAGGAGCCAGCCAGTGAGCGGAGCCTGGAAGAGGGAGGAGCACATCTTGATGCAGAGATGCTGCAGTGGCTCTGGGCGCGCACACACACAAGCGCCCTCACCCACCACTGCTGCCGCTACCGGCGCTGCCGCCACCGCACCCGGACAGCAGCCAGCAGCTGAGAGAACAGGGGAGAAGAGGGAGGCAGCCCAGGGCGCTGGCGGCCAGGCTGGCTCTGGCTCACCGCCTCGGGCAGCATCCACCTGCCCCAGTCAACACCCCTCTTTCACCCCAGGTAGGTGCCGGCCAATTTTATCTTGGGGCGCAGTTGGGGCAGCAGCTCAGAGCTCAGTGTCCTTGCAACTTGGGAGGGGCAGGGGCAGAGGAAGGGGCATGGCAGGAACTCCAGCTACAGGCTGAGGCCAGTCTGACTTCTCACCACTGGGACTGGAAGTGTCCTCCGCCCTGTCTGCATGGGTGGCACCCTGCAGGGCCCAGCAGGCCAAGCTGGCCAGGAAGCTAGCCCCCAGCTGTGTGCCCAGGAATTCAAGCTGGCTACTGGCCACCAGCTGGCAGCAGTGACTGCCTTCAGAGAGGACAGTTGTTCCTCTCTGTCCCTGGCCCCCACGTCCAGGACCAGAAAGCCCTTGGGGTCAGGCCCTAGACCCCAGCCTGTCCCCAGATGTCTCCGGAGGGAGCTGAGACTGACCACCGGACTGGAGGGTGCCCTGGGTCGGCCTCTGCAGGGTGACCTCTTTGCAAAGTCTTCCTCCAGTCCCACAGAGGTGGGAGTGGAGCTCAAGTTTGGGTGAGGGCCTGTCCAGGAGTGGGATTTAGGGAGGAAATACTGAGGTGAGCCATATCCCAAAGGGTGAGTGGCCGGCACCATAGGGGCTGACATTCCTGCTCTTCCCTTCCCCCTCCCCAACCTTACCTCTGCTCAAGTCCCTTCCTCTGGTCGGGACTGGTGGGAGAGGATTTGCAGGAAGTTTGGTGAGGAAAGGGGCTGGGGCTCGAAGGGGGAGGGGCCCCCCTTGGGGGGTCTAGGAAAAGGAGGCAACCCTTCTCCCCAGCACCATGGGCTTACATAACGGACCAGAGGTGGGGGCAGCTGCCCCAGCCAGTGTCCGGAGCTGAATCCTGTCACCTTGTCCAGGAGGGGTCCCAAGGTCTGGGAGGCAAGAAAGAGGAGTGAGGAGAGACAGAGCCCGTGGAAGGAGAGTCCTGGCACTGCGGGACAAAGCCAGGGAGACCCTTGGCCACGGCCCCCCGGGAGCTGGAGCCTATGCCCGGGGGGGGGGGGGGGCAGACCTGTCAGTCAAGGTTGTTTGGAGGTTTGGGAATCCAGACAGACCAGAGCTGTGAGTGCCCATAGCCCAGTCCTGGGAAAGCTGGGGTTTTCAGCCCCTGAGGTACCTGTCCTTGACTTCCCTGCCTGTGTCCAGCCTGCATCTGGTAAGACCCTACCACTCTGCTTCCAGCTTGACCCCTCTGGACCACAGACTCCATCCCCACCCCTCTGCTCCCAGGGAGGCAGGAGCAGGACCGCCCAGTATTCCAGTGGGTCGGTGCCTCCTCATCTCCTTCAGGTGCAGGCTCGCTCTCCTCTCCCAGTCCTCTGGCCAGAGCGCCCCCAGTCCGTTCGGCCGCTTGTCCTCTCAGAGGCACTCAGAGGGACCAGCGGAGCCACTGGGCATCCAGGGCAGCAAAGGGCAGCCCACCTGTGAGAGAGGCTGATGGGACAGGCTCCTGGGGTTAGGGCAGGGGGATGGAGCCCAGACTTCCCGCTTTGGGAGGAGGGAGTTGGGCTCTTAGGATAGCAGCACTCTCCAGGGGGCCCTGTCAGTTAACCCTTTCTAGCCAGGCTGCAGAGCCGCTCAAGCAAGGCCTTTGCCACAAGGTCAAAATTCTTCCTAATTTCCTGTGGAATCTATCAGGAGTCCTCAGGCAGCACACGGGAGGCAGGCAGTGAGGCAGATGGGGAGGAGACCCCTGAGCCCATGACATCAATGTCACCAAGGTCCACCTGTCCTGGTGCTCAGCATGAACAGTGAGAAAAACTCGGAGTTCTCTCTCTGTGACTTTCTCTCTCATTCCTGCTCCTCCTCTGCTCCCCAATGACCCAGCTCTCTCTCCCCTCACACTTCCTCCCGGGCCAGATGTGCCCCCCCACCTCCAGCCCTCTCCACCTACCCCACGCCGCTCCTCTGGCGGATCTCTCTCCTTATGTAACTCCGCTCCCGCACCTTCTCTGACGGCAGGTGTCCAGCTAGAAGCATAGGCGGGCTAGGCCTCTGGGGGCTGTGTCCCCCGGGATGGCTGGGTAGCTGCACGTTTTGTCTTTGACACCAAACTTACTCCCCAGGAGCAAGCACTGGTTGGGGGTGGGGGTGGCCCCAAGGCCACCTCTCTGGCTCCAAGGCTATCAGGGAAGCAATCCATCTGGGGTGGTTTGGAGGGTGCATGTCCTCTGCCTTCACCCCCAGAAAGTCCTCAAGCCAAATGTGAGAAAGTGCATCTCAAAGACAATCTATGCCTGAGTGTAGGTGGTATTTGTACTTTTGGAGGGATTCCTAGGGCAGAGCCGGGGGGGGCGGGGGTGAGCAAGAAGAAGAAGAACCAGAGCCAAGAATATTCCAGTGAAGCGGGAGGGATTGAAATTAGGCTGCAGGAGGCGCTTCCCCACCAGGAAGATGAGCCTGAGAGGGTGCAGTCTCCCCAATGGCTCTAAGGGGCCATGGAAAACCGGGGTCTGGTCCAAGGTCAGAAACCATCCTGCATGGAAGTGGTGGTTGGGCTGGGTGACCCTGTAAATTTCGCCCAGGCTCAGGTTATCCTCTTTCAAATGAAACAGGCAGGGGCGACTCGGAATCCATAAGAAGACAGACACGTATTCATTCTCTGCTGCCCACCTCTCATGCTTCCGGACCACCCCAGGCTAGGCTAACCCCCACCATCCGCTAGGGGTGGCTAATCTGGAGCATCCTAGGAGTCTCCGTGGGCTCCGTGTCTTGATAATAACCACCCTGGAGTGAAGAAGTCCTTCCTTGGGTTTGATGAATCCTCTTGTCACAAAATGAGCCCACATTGTCTTGTTTATCCAAAGAGGGCGCAAACAAAAGCAAAGGTGTGCGATATTCTCCCCCCAAACTGGACACATTGCACCTCAGGACACGTGCAGACCCAAGCACACCCCAGTGTCCTTCTCATCCGATGAGTCTCCCCCCCACGTGCACACATGTATGCACATACATGCACACACGTATACACACATGCACATGTGCATGCGCACACACACAGGACACCCATCCCAATGAAACCTGCTGGGCCTCCTCTACCCGCAGCCCACACCCCCTCGGGGGCCAAGAGGCCGTTCCACCCCATGTCTGGCTGAAAGCGACCCTCTTGCTGTGCAGCCTGGAGGGGCAGCTCATCTGGGCCCCAGAGCAGAGACTAGTCTGAGAGGAGGAGCAGTTCCAACCCACACCCACCTGGCTTGGCTCTGGACCAGCCAGGAAGAAACTAGGAACTGGGAGAAATCTCCTCTCCACAGAGATGAGGAGACATGCAACATTGCTCTGCTAATTTCTCCCTGATTTGGTTCTGAAGACCCAAATCAAAACAATGGCTCTTACTCCTGACATCTCAAAATCGGACCTCCTTCCAACACCCTCGCTCATTCTACCAAACCACACACACCGGGAGTAGGGCACCTAGGGTCTGGCGGTGCTTGCCCCTTACCCCAGCTCCTCCTAGAAGGATGCAAGGCTCTCCTTCTGTCCAGTCCCCACTTTGAGGGTCTCTCCAGTGCAGTAGGTGGGGGCAGGGTCAGGAGGGCCAGAAACTCCAGGCTGAAGATCAAGGGCCAGACTCCCTCAGGCCAAGGTTGCAAACTCACACAAACCCAGTTTCCCCAGAGGGCAGGCAGTCAGTGCCGGGGCCCCAGGGAGCCTGCTGCCAATACAAAGAGCCTGCAGAGAAAACCTAGGTGCAGGCAGGGAGGGAGCACAGAGAGGGGTCCAAGAAGAAACTCAGCTGCATAGCTCCCCTGTCCCTCACTGGGGACTAAGGAGGTCCCCAGCCCACCCCAATCTGCCCTCAGGACCTCCTCCAGCTCAGGGCACCCACCTTCCTCACTGGGGCCTCTCAACCACAGTCCTGCTCCTGCCAGCGCCCACCCTGCCTGACACTCGGCCCCACCAGGCCACCATAGCCCCTGCCCTCCCAGAGGGCGGGGAGTGGTCCAGACCTTCCTGGAGGACAGTGACCCCGTCCCAGGTGGCAATTCCTTCTGCAGGCGAGTTCCTCTCCCCTACCATGCCCCAGGAGCAGGACATGGGGTGGCTGAGAAGCACCTGCTTGGGAGTGCCCCTGTGTGTGCCCTGGCCAGGTGCTCCCAGGTGGATGAACACACGGTATCTGGATGTGGCTCTGTGTGTCCTTGGGCCCTCACCTGGGTAGTGTGCCTGCTGGGGCTTGCCGGGGCCCACTGTACCCGTGGGGCGGAAGAGGAGGAAGGCACCTGCCCTGGGACAGTGTGGGAGTCTGTCAGTATCCTAAACACGCGTGAGCACAGCCTGGGGGTCGTGGCTGTGTGGAAGTAGACGCCAGGCACAGCATCTGTGGGCACACGTCTGTGTCTCCTGAGCGCTTAATATGGGCCAGAAATGGTGCTGACCTCACAGGAGTCCCTTGGGGTGGCTATACCCCTCCTCGCCCCCACGGTGCAGACAGGAGACCAGGGCTCAGAGACTTTAGCAATGAGCACAGCAACTAGGGCTGCACTGGCTCCTAAGCGCCAGGGCTTGGCTGAGAGCCCACCCTGTTAACCTGTGCCGTGCCGCAGGGTGCGGGCTGCCGGAGACTCGGGCTGGGGCAGTGCTTGTGGGTTTACAACACATTGCTTTGTCTCTGCCCCCGAGCAGACTCCAAACTCTACCTTTTTCCACCCCACCCCCCCAAAGCAGCCCTCGGTGCTCGCATCTCCCCCAGGGGCTGGGGGAGACCAATTCAGGGCCCAGGGCCCCGTGTCCCAAACGAGAACATTTAGGAGGAGCGGATCTTTCATTTTCTGGCCGCTCTGTGCAGGGGCCCTGAGGCCAGCAAGCCCTGTCATGTGCCAGAGTCCGGCTCTCAGCCTTTCCTCACCCAAAGGGGGGAGGGACAACCCTTTGTTTCCTGGGTCCAGCAGTTCAGCCAGCTCCCCCTGGAGCCTCCGAACCCCCAAGCAGCCCGCTCCCCCATGTGTTTGTGGCTCATAGGACCAGTGCCCGGTGGTGACAGCTCATGCCTGCCTGTGCCAGCCCCTGCCTGCTCCCCTGTACCAGGGCAGCTGGCCTGGGCCAGGCTTGGCCGGCTCTGGGCTCACAGGGCCAGCTCCCAGCCTGGCATAGCTCCACTTGCTCCTGACAAAAAGGCCTCCTCCATCCTGTGATTCTAGAATGTGTTCTAGGGCAGATGGTGTGAGGCCAGTGTCCACGTAGCTCGAGCAGTAGCTCAGTGGCACTCAGGTGGTCAGGGAACCCTGTAAGGTAGTTTTCACTACTGGTCCCCAGTGCTTAGCACAATGCCTGGAACATGGTCATAGATACTAGAGCGAAAATGGACTAGGGCAAGACTGGGTGCCAGCTGCCTCACCTTCAAGGTAGCAGAGGCTCCAACCTTTGACCCAGACTCCGTGTGTTGCGTGTGTGTTTGTGTGTGTGTGTGTGTGTGTGTGTGTGTGTGTGTCTGTGAGTGTGTTCACACAGGCCCAGGCACACGGAGGCTTGGTGTGCACATGATCGTGTTGACAGGTCCCTGGTACTCCCTCAGCCCCTGCCCCTCCTCCCCCAACATCTGTCCCTCAGGGGTGCCCAGGGCCCCTGAGCACAGGGGTGACTGATAAAGGTCTGGGTTAAGTTGTAGTTTAGAAGCAGTAGAATTGGGTTATCTACAAAGTATGATAATTACCTGGGGCAAGAAAACCAATGATTCTGACCACTGCAGGGTGCAGGAGAATGACCCAGGATGCAGACCTCCTTGTGGGTCCCACAAAAACAAGGCAGGGGCTGGGTCGTCACACCTGTGCGGGCAGGGACACCCACACAAGGACACACACAGAGACCAGACACACCCAAACACAGACACAGAGACACGTGGACCAGCCCTCACATATCCACATACAGACGAAACACAGATGCACACAGACATCATGCACAAGCACGCATGTGTGTGCACGCACAGGCGCCCGGGAGCAGCGCCGGCTCCTGCCCCTGGGCCTCAGCTCCCTGGTGGCCAGTGCCTGCTGTGCCTCGGCACACTCCGGTGAGTGCCTGGAGCCCGCACCATGGGAGGGGACTCCCCGAGTGCCCAGGGCTGGCAGGCAGACAAAGGGCAGCAGTGAGCAAAGGACGACTGAGCGCCCTCTCTGTATCCAGCTCTGGGATGTGCCACACTAGTTCTGAGGGGGCATTCCCAAAGTGTTTGTAGTTGTGGAACCCTTTGTGTGAAGGGAGGCCCGTAGGGAACCCAGGAGAGCACCCAGGCATAAGTGGGGCTGCTCTGGCTGAAGGGGACAGGTCGGAGCATTCAGAACAGCTCTGCAAAGCAAGCATCGTGATCTCCGCTTGCAGGTGAGAAAACAGGCTCCACCAGGGGGAATAGCTTGTCCGAGCTCCCAAAGCTGTTAGGAGATGAAGTCAATGACCCGAACCCTGTCTGCCGAGCCCACAGCCTGGGACAGTTCAGGCCCCCAGTGCCTCTGGGGCATCCAGGGCCACCCTCCCAGCCTCCCCCTGACTGAGCACCCTGGAGACCTGAGTGTGTGTGTGAGGGAGAGAGTGACTGTGAGACAGTGTGTGTGAGGATGCGTGTGAGAGTGTGCGAGGGTGAAAGTGTGTGCGTGTGAGCGTGAATGAAGGAGAGCGTGTGTCTATGAGAGTAAATGTGTTGATAAGAGGGGTGTGAGGGTGTGTGAGTGCGAGTGAGCGTACGAGTGTGCCCGGCCAGGCAGCCAGCTGTCCGCCGAGCTCCACCGTGGGAGCGGGGGTGGGAGTGTGGCCGGGGTGCCCACTGGCTCCTGCAGGCACAGAGCACAGCTGTCCTCAAACAGTGAAATGTGCCGCACAAGCAACACCTGTTATGGGCCAGGCACTCGGCCAGGCACGAGCAACACGAAAACGAAGACAATGCGCCTCTCCCCTTGGGGAGCTCACAGCCTTCTAATGCAGGTGGACGCGTTCCGCAGGCAGGGCCTGGGGTGCAGTCCCAAGGGCTCCTGGCCGGGGGAGGGCGCTGCGGGGAAGTGGAGTCACAGGGCAGAGGCACAGCGATGGCGGTGCTGGGGGCCCATCACAGGGACTGCAAGCGCTGAGTTTCCGGGTTCAGGTCTGGAACTGAAAGTGGTGAGGACAGGGAGGGGCAGGTAGTGTAGAGCGGTGGCCCCAGGGCCCCCTCCTGACAAAGGGGAATGTATATGAGGCTAGAGTTGGGGCAGAGAGGGTTTAAAAGAGTTTGGGGACTCTTTCCCAGGGACAGAGTGGAAAGTGAGACAAGGAGATGCTGAGTTTGCATTGTTTTTCAGACCCTGCACTGGCCAGCGGGGCCATCTGCACCCAGCCTCCCCTCCTCCCCCTTCTCACCCCCTGCAGGGGGCAGCACTCCCAGGCCCTCGGCGGCACCGTGCTCTCTGGGAGCACAGGTCTCGGGAGCTGGAAGGGACCTTAGAGAGCCCCGTCCTGCAGACGAGGACACTGAGACCCAAAAGTGGCATGGGTCTTGCGGCCAGTTAGAGGAAGACCGCCAGACCCCCCCACCCCCGCCCCGCTCGGAGGTGTCTGCGAGGCCGGCAGGCAGGGCAGAGGAGCAGAATCTGCAGCAGCTGGGAGATCTGACTCCCTGTGGCGCCCAAACACTGAAAAGTGTGGGGGCGCCGGAGCTTGGAAAGCTGGACGGACATGGGAAGCACTACCTGGGGGCTGGCCCAGCCCTTGCTTCTAAGGATGAGGCTCCCATCTCTCAGACTGAGGCAGGGGCTCTGACTTGCTCTCAGTGGCCCCCAACCCAGGCAGCAGGCTCTGCAGAGCTCCCAAGATTTAACCAAGTCTCTGCTCAGCTCTGCGCAGGAGGGAGCCTCCTCCAGGAGCTGCGTTAACTCTTTCAGCACAGAAGAGGCCCTTCCCCACGTGGTTGGGAGCATTGCTGAAGGGGCCAAGGTTAGGGCTCCATCACGCACAGTACGTGGTGCCTTACCTGGGGACCCAGGTGAGAGCCTGTGGATGACTCGGCCTGAGAGACTTAGTGCGGCTCCCAAGGGGCTTACTGCTTCCTGCTGCCCCTCCCTGCCCAGGCCGCTGTGGGGGAGGGACAGGGAGAGTGGGCCCTTACTAGAGAAAAATGTAACTGGGTCCCCAAATCCAGGCCCAGGCCCTGTTCTCTTCAGCACCCACACCAGAGCTGTTACAGGTAAGTGGGCGGTGGTCCTTCCCTCCCGGTCCCGGTTCGCGCTGCTGCACTTCCCAAGCCCACCCTGCTGGCTGCGGGCGTGTAGGGAGCCGGAGGGAGGGAGGAGGCAGGAGCAGTGACTGAGCCGGACTCCCAGGGGTGCAGTAGGAGGCGCTCAGTCCGGGGAAGAGCTCCCTGTAAGAGCCAAGCCCCTTCCCCTGGGCCCTGGGGAGGGCAAGTGGTTGAGTTGCTCCGGCTTCTCCCAGCTGAGACCCAGATAGGCTGGAGCTGGGAGCGGCGCGCCTCAGCTCCACGCCTCAGCTCCGGGAACCCCCTGCCTCCTGCCTCCCTAGGTCCTTCTCGGCCTCCTGCTGGACTCTCCCCTCCTGCTGGGCTGAGGCCCTTCTCCTCCGCTCTCCACGCCAGCCCGGACCCCCACCATGGGGACACTCTCCAGGAGGAAGTCCCACCTGCTGCTGCTGCAGGCCATGGCCCTGGCCTGCTGTCCAGGTGAGAGGGTTTGTCTGGTCTGGAAGCCCAGCAGGACAGTTCTATCATTACATCATCGCTATTATTTTGGTGATGACCACAGACGTTGTTGACTCTGCATTTCTGAGGCTATGTTCTGGCTAAAATTTCCCCACTTGTGGATCTTACTTTCCCTTTGAGGTTAGGAGAGAGAATGAGTCTTTGCCATATTATAGATGAAGAAGCCCAACTAGAGAGGGCGAAAGGCTTGCCCTGGGTCGCCCAGCAAGATCTTGGCACAGCCTCCGCAGTACCAGCCCGGAGCGGAAGCTCGAAGGGTGCACGGTTCGATATAGTGGCCAATAGCCAAAGGACGGTTTGCATGAAGAGGAGTTCAGAGAAATGTGGTGCTAGCTAGCCACACCTCAAGGCTAACAGCCACGTTGGGCAGCTCAGATTACAGAATGTTTCTCTTGGGTGGTACCGCTCTAGGCAGGGACCAGCACCGCAAAACCCTGGGGCAGTTTCTCAGGGCAACACTGCAGCCTGGCAGGTGGGGTTAGCGGGGACCAGGATCTGGGGAGGAGGGGCAGAGCACGGGGCAGCCCAGGATGAAGGCAAGAGGGACCCAGCACAGGCTCTCAGGCCGAGGGTGCTGCAGAGTGGGACGAGGGGAGGAAGGGCTGATAGAAGGAAGAGGAGGATGTGGGGAAGGCGGCGGTGCTGCTGAGAGGCTGGGGTGGCTGGGCTCCGGAGAGGGTGCTGCAGCCCCAGCCCGTCTGACGGCTGGGGAGCACTCGGGCCGCCTGTGGCTCGTCTGAGGGGTCCTCTGGGACCACTGCTTGGCCTCTCTGCTCTGACCCCCAGCCCAGACCAAAAGACATTTCTTTTCTCCTTAAACATCTCCCTGGGAGAAAGAGTGCCGTCCTCCACCAGACTTCTGGAGTTCGAGCCAGCTCAGGCTCCACACTACCCGCTTCGCGCAAGGCTGCCGCCAGGGCCAGCGTGCTCCAGGCTCTCGTCTCAGCAGGGGAGGGCTCCACCGCACACCTTCCGATGTTCTCATTCTGTCCTAACGGCCTCTCAATCCTGCTCTCAAGCCCAAGCCGTGAGCCTGCTGGGAAATAGAAATGACCCACAGGGTGGGAGGAGCCTCCCATCCCCACCCCCAGGCCTAGCTGCCTGTGCTGGGGCCCCCCAGGAGCTGCTGCGTTAGGGACCTGAGGGAGCAGGAGACACCCACTCTGGAGAGAGCAGAGGAGAGGGGCCTGGGCCCCTTGGGGACAGCTCAGTGCTGGAACCCCATCACATGAGAAAGGGGTGTGGCGGCCTCCAGGGTCCTTTGACCCAGCAGTGCAGGCAGGCCAAGGGAGAGGGGACCTGGTCTGCCACGTCACAGGGCTCAGAGACAGGAGGGGAGCATTCTGTCACTCCCCCCGCCCCCAGGAAGGGGCTCGGCTCCACTCTCTCTGCAGACTGTCCTGGGGCTGTACCTAGTGCCTGGAAAGGCCGGGAGGACTCCCCTCCACACGCTCATCTCTCTAACCCCTTCCTCTGCGAGGCTCCCAGAGCCTGTGTGCTGTGGGGAGCAGAGTTTCCAGGACAAGAAATCAGGGAGAATCGGAGAGACCCCCCCGAGCAAGGACAGCGTGAGGAGGGGCTGGCTTTGCCTGGGAGAGAGCGTGTGTCTTTGGAGGAGGGTGTGGAGGGTGCGAGCATGCGTCTGGGGACATCCGAGGGGCAGACGTGAGTGGGTTATTGCACAGAGGGGCGCTGCGGTGGGGGGTGATGAGTGGGGACGGCCAGCCTCACAGTGCTGTGCAGGGGGCTCCTCATCCCCAGCTGCAGGGCCGAGTACCCACAGGCACTTCAGGAGCCGGACTCCTCACCCGTCCTAGAGATTCTGACTCCCTTCCTCTAGGGGGAGCAGAGCCTCTGCCGGCCCCAGTGGGGCTGCGGTCGGGAACCACGGCCACAATGGCTGAGGACGCTGGTAGGGGGTGAAGCTGGCCAGGGTCCAAGCCCCTGGCTCTGCCCCTGCTCGCTGTGTGATTTGGAGCAGCTGGGTGACCTTCCCGAGCCTCAGCTCCCACACTGGTCAAGTAAGGACGCGGCAGCACCTGTCTGTGAGAAGGCTGTGACAGTGCAGGGGAGCACCCGAGTCTTACCTGTCCTTCTTAACGTGAATCACCAGCGTGTTCAAGGGAGTGCGCACGGACACTCCAGCCGCATGTGCGTGTCTGTCCGAGATGTGCATGAATGTGTGCCTCTGACCGCTGCAGTGGCTTAGAGGGGTCTGCATGCAGGCACGTGGGACGTGTGTGCACTCAGGGAAGTGTGTGCAGGTGAGAGGCGTGCACGTGGCGTAGGCGGATGCTGGGCGAGAGCGTGTACATGGCTGAGTGCAAAGGAGAAAGCTTTTACAGGAAGAAAGCCAGTCCGAGAGCGTCCGCGTGCCCAGGCTCACTCAGCCACCCCCACCACCCAGACGGAGTTACTGGAAGCTGCTGTTGTGCAAAGTGGTTCCCAGCAGCCCCACTGCCTCCCCCACCCCTCCCCTCCCCTCCCCTCGCCTCCCCTCTCAGCAGTCCCAGCTGGGCAGGGGTCCCTACCCTCCACCACCATCATTAACTTGGGATTAAGCTGGGCTCTCCGTGCCGTCTCCAAGGCCTGGGGCGGCAGTGAAGGGCCGTGACGGGTGGTGGGGAGGGGAGATGCCGGACGCTGTCTCAGGGAGCCCTGCCTCCTCCCTCATTCTGAGAGCTGCTTAACAGCTGCCCTCACTCCCGGGGCCCGGGCTGGGCCTCAGCTGTAGCATAGGGACCAAGCCCCCACCCCTGGAACAGGGCTGACAGCTGGATGCGCTGGGAGAAGAGGCACTAATTGGCTAATGGGGATCCCACCCCCCATGACCCACCAAGGAGAGCCTGAAGTGTAGGAGCCCGTCATGGGCGTCCTGGCTCCTGCCTGACACCACAAAGGGGAAGTGTGCCTGGCTGCAGGATCTGCAAATGGCGCTCCCTGCCCAGCGCAGCGGGAAGGCAAGCAAGCGCAACGCTCCGGGCCCCTCGGGGCCCTGCCCAGTGAGGCCGGACACTGGCAAGTGAGATGCACCCACCCTGAGATGCCCACGTGCTCAGCAAACTCAGGAGACCGAGGGGTAGTCCTGCGTGTGCTATATATAGACTTGCTGTGACCCCAGCATATCATCCCCTTCTCGGGGCCTCTCTTTCTTGAATTGCCACGCTGGAATTTTATAAAAATGCCCCGGAAGCAACCTGCACACCACCCACCCGTTGCAAAGCCTTCCTTCCTCCCCCCAACCCCACCCCGTCCCTCACGTGGGCCCAGCAGACGGAGCACACACCTGTGCTGGGCTGAAGCCTCCCTCAGACCTTCTGGGAAGGGACTCCACAGTCTTTCCATTTCACAGGCAAAGGTGTTGGGGCTCAGAAGGTTCTAGAACAGCTGGTAAGAGCCAGGGCGCTTTCTCTTGGGACAGCCTGCCCCATGGCATAGATTCCCTCTTCCCCTTTTGGCCACTGACTCCCACCCATCTTTCAAGGCCTATCTCACACCCTGCAGACCGGCTTTTCCAAGAGACCCCCGCCCCACTGTCCCTGGGCAGTGTCACCCACTTCCCCTCTGAGGTGCCCCTGCACCGTGAACCTAACCTGCTATGATGGCTCTTTCCACCTTGTACTGGCAGTTTTCTGCTTCCTTCCTGGACTGCAAGCTCCCTAAGGACAAGGGGCTGTGTGCATAGGGCCAGGGGCAGCCCAGGGCCGGGGGCACAGCGACACTCACCAGCCACGTGCAGGGCGGGCGATCGGCTGAACTGGCTGACCAGATGGGGCCTGCCCAACCTATTTAAATTCAAGTTTTGATTAATTAGAGTTAAATAAAGCTAAGAATTTGGTTCCTCAGCTGCACCAGCCACCTTACAAGGGCTCCACAGTAGTGTCGGTGGCCAGGACATTGTCTTGGGCAGGGCAGGACATGGGACCTTTCCAGCATTGCAGAGAGGTCTGTCAGACAGTGCTGCTCCAGAGGCCAGGGCCCAGCCGGCCCCTGGGCCATGAGGCCTCTGGCGGTGTCCCCATCTGCAGCGTGGAGCTCAGCCCTGGGATCCCCGGCCACCTTTGGCCCTGTCTTTGAAGACCAGCCCCTCAGTCTGCTATTCCCAGAGGAGTCCACAGAGGAGAAGGTGACCCTGGCGTGCCGTGCCCGGGCCAGCCCTCCGGCCACCTACAGGTGAGACCCCCACAGTGGGGGTGGGTGCTGGGCGGTCCTGGGAAGCTGTGTGGATTTTCTTCACATTGGCCCTGTGGCTGGGCAGCTAGGCAGCACTCAGGAGCCCCCCTTCCGCCCCTGCTGCAGGTGGAAGATGAACGGCACTGAAATGAAGCTGGAGCCAGGGTCCCGCCACCAGCTGGTGGGAGGCAACCTGGTCATCATGAGCCCCACCAAGGCACAGGATGCCGGCGTCTACCAGTGCCTGGCCTCCAACCCAGTGGGCACTGTCGTCAGCAGGGAGGCTGTCCTTCGCTTCGGCTGTGAGGCCCTCGGGGTGCAGGACGTTCTCGGGGAGGGCAGGAGGGGGCTGGGAAGAGTGTCCGCTTCCCACGGAGGCTGAGCGGGGGAGGGGCCCCGGCTGGGAGGACGGCGCCTGAGGGCTGCCTGGCCTTCCCCTCCAGTTCTGCAGGAATTCTCCAAGGAGGAACGAGACCCGGTGAAAACCCACGAGGGCTGGGGAGTGATGCTGCCCTGTAACCCACCCGCCCACTACCCAGGTGAGTCGGGACCTGGACCCGCGGTTAGACCCAGGGCCCCGGGGGGGCTCTGGCCGAGCAGCAGAGGAGGGGTGGAATAGAAGGTGGCAAGTGACTCTTGGAAGCAACCGATCCCTCGGTCCTTGACCTTAAAGAATTATTTCCTTTATGGGTCTGTCATTGTCTAGCTCTGTGCCCTGCCTCCCAGGGCACATTGTGACGGGGCTGGTGGGGTGGGGGGCATCCCTGCAAGGCTACTTCCATGGCAGACAGCGCTCCCCAAGGGCAGGAGCACAGTTGCATCTTCCCTCTGAGACCCCCTCAGCCCCAGTCCACAGAACAGGGGCTCTCAGGACAGGGTCTGCCGGTCTCGACCAGCATGTTGAGGTCCCACCCAAAGTTGCCTGCTCGCCCAGCACCCCCTGGTGTCCTCACACTCCCCGCTCCTAGGCCTGTCCTACCGCTGGCTCCTCAACGAGTTCCCCAACTTCATCCCGGCGGACGGGCGTCACTTCGTGTCCCAGACCACCGGGAACCTGTACATCGCCCGGACCAACGCCTCAGACCTGGGCAACTACTCCTGCCTGGCCACCAGCCACATGGACTTCTCCACCAAAAGCGTCTTCAGCAAGTTCGCTCAGCTCAACCTGGCTGCTGAAGGTCAGGGTCAGCGGGTATGGAGAGAAGGGGTTTTCCCTCAGAGGCTGTGAAGAACAGCAGCCAGGGTGCAGGGTGCAGGGTCTGGAGCCTAGACCCCAGGACCCTCTGCTTCAAGACCCCAGATGCTCGCCTCGGGCCCCCAAGGGGAAAGGGAGTGAAGATGGAGCTGGCTCAGAGCTGCGCTGAGATCGCAGCACGTGGGCCCCTGACCCAGACCTCTTGCACCTGACCTGCTGAACCCTTTCTCCCCAGACCCCAGGCTCTTCGCGCCCAGCATCAAGGCCCGGTTCCCGGCAGAGACGTACGCGCTGGTGGGACAGCAGGTCACCCTGGAGTGCTTTGCCTTCGGGAAGTGAGTGGTGGAGGACGGGGGAACAGGCCAGGCACAGGTGGCCCCAGGGGGAGAGGGGGCAGGCAGGGCCAGCACTCAGGCATCTCGGTGCCCCACAGGGTCTAGCAGAGTGCCAGCCCCACAGTGGGCAGTGACCGCCACACACCGGGCACTAACCACCTGGCTCTGTCATTTGCTTGCCAGGAGACCTTGGTAACCACTTAACTGCTTGGTGCCTCCGTTTCCTTACTTGCACATGGTGATAATAGTACCCCCCTCATGGGGTTGTGAGGACTCACTGAGTTAACACATGTTAAGCGCTCAGAACAGTGCCTGGCATTTAGTAGGTATTCTGTGGACACCTACAGTTATCTTTTAAAAAGTTCCGATGCAAACCACGCTCTCCCAGAAATGCTGGAACAGGGTTCAGCATTGCAGGTGCTCAGTAAACATTTGCAGAATGAATGCCCAAAGGTGTCTCCTGTCGTTTGACGATGCCCAGGCTGCCCCAATTTGTGGAAAACTATTGGGCTTCCAGAATATCCATATTTAAAGACTTATTGATACCTCAGTCCATTTATTTAAAAAGATTTTATTTTATCTTAAGAGGGAGAGGAAGGGAGGGTGAAAGAGAGGGAGAGAAACATTGATCAAACCAGTGACCCTTTGGTTCACAGGCAGGAACTTAATCCACTGAGCCACACCAGCCAGGGCAATAGTCAGTCCATTTTAGCTCACAGATTACTAATAACCAAAGACACTTTGGGAAGAAGAGGCAAGACTCTGTTGAAGAGAGGGGAAGGGACCCAGGCCACCGCTGGGGAGGGCGGTCCCAGAAGAGGCATGGCAGTCAGTGCAGAGTTGGGGAGGGAGGGCGAGGAAGCTTCAGGTGCGGACCACACGGAAGACCCATTTCACTGGTGTCACCATTGTTGCAGGGGAGTGGAGGGGAGACGGGAGCCCCACTTCGTGCCCCTTCCTTGCCTGTGCTCCCAGCCCACCAGGAAGAGGCCCCTCCCAGGCCCAGGCGGGGCTGCCCTCCTTCCCACCTCCACCTGCCCAGCATCTCAGGAGGACCTGAGAGTCTGCACAGGGCAGTCTGACTAGCTCAGCCCACCCCCTCTGGCTTTGTCTCCCCCGCCAGCCCCGTGCCCAGGATCAAGTGGCGCAAAGTGGATGGCTCCTTGTCCCCGCAGTGGGCCACAGCTGAGCCCACCCTGCAGATTCCCAGCGTCAGCTTCGAGGATGAGGGCACCTATGAGTGTGAGGCGGAGAACTCCAGGGGCCGAGACAGTGTCCAGGGCCGCATCATCGTGCAGGGTACGAGACAGGACACCCTCTTCCCACTTTGACCCCGTGCCTGACTGAGGCAGTCCACCCAAAAGTCAGGGAGGAGACGGGAAATCCCGTTGCTTAAGCCTTTGGCTCCAGGATGCACTGGATGTGGGAACAGAAGAGGCCACCTCAGAGTTCCAGTCGGTGTTGCAGAAAACAACCGGAAGGCTTTAGAATGATTTCAGATGCTAAAACAGCCAGTGACTTGGGCTCAAAGTGCCAGCTTTCTGGAGCCTGCTTCTCACACCCCAACCCAGAACACTGATAACGCCCTCTGCTGTCTGGCACAGGAACTGCAGCCCTGCAATTCTGGTCTGTTTAATGAGCTGGGGGCTCCTCCCAGCTTATCCCCAGCCTCTCTCTTCCTTGCACCCCACAGCCCAGCCGGAGTGGCTCAAGGTGATCTCGGACATGGAGGCTGACATCGGTTCCAGTCTGCGTTGGGGCTGTGCAGCAGCCGGCAAGCCCCGGCCCACAGTGCGCTGGCTGCGGAACGGGGACCCTCTGGCCTCCCAGGTAGCAGACGTGGGGCTTCCTCCCACACACAAATGGTCCTCTGCTCGCCAGCCGCCAGCCGGGTTCCCTCACTCCTCACTGCCTGTCCCCGCTCTGTGCTGCACCACGGGCAGCCCCTCTGGGCCAATTAGAGTGCCACAGGGTGTTTCCGGGTGCTTCTTCCCATCCCAGAGTCACACAGCTACAGGCTGGTCAACTGGATAGACTCTTGACTGGAGGGTCCAGAGACCTGGGCCCAGGCACAACTCAGCCACAAATACACTGTGTGGTCCTGTAGTCACTTCACCCACCTGGCGTCTCTCTGCTGATGTGCATGGAGGCCTGGGGAATTCCAGGTGGCTCTGAGATGGCACGGGGCATATGAACCCTGCCTCCAAGGAGTGCCAGCCTAGAGTCTTCACTGCACCACCACACCCACCTCTGTAGGCCTCCCCACAAGTGGTCCTGACACTCCTGACCCTGGGCGTGGCTCTTTTGCACAGACCCGGATAGAGGTGCTAGCCGGGGACCTGCAGTTCTCCAAGCTGAGCCTGGAGGACTCGGGCATGTACCAGTGTGTGGCAGAGAACAAGCACGGCACCATCTACGCTAGCGCCGAGCTGGCCGTGCAAGGTGAAGGGCCGGGGGAGGCTGGGACGTCTGCGGGGTCGGGGGTGGGGGGGGGCACAGGTGGGGCTCTCGGAGCCAACTCACGGCATTTCAAAACACACACACACCCTGGCAGTTCCCTGGCAGCTTCTGAGAAGAACTCAGGGATTTACGAAAGGAGATGAGACACTAAACTGAGGGCTCCCAGAGGACAAGGTCTCTGGTTTGTTCCATGTCTGGCACAGACAAGTCAAATAGTTTTTTGCAGTTACAAAAGAAAAGGTGGCAAAAGTCACTGGAAACCCAATCAGTTGGATCTGTGTCTAACCCAACCTCCTCAGCTCTGCATCTCAGTTCACTAATTCATAAAACAGCTGTTGTGAGGACTCAGTGAGATGACAGAGGTAAAAGCATAAAGGACCCAAAGCATAACAGGTGCCCGGTAAGTATGGGCTGCCGCTCACATTCTTACCGTCTGACTTGAGCTCGTAAAACTTCAGCTTTCTCAGCTGCAAAGTGGGCGCAGTAACGCTCACCTCCTCAAGTTGTGGTGAGGCCTAAGTAAGACTCATTCATTAACTCATTCAACCAATATTTACTCTGTACCTCCTCAGACAAGGTCTCTGCCATCAAGTCTCTTACAACCCAGCAGAGAAAGGGGGTCAAATAAACACAAAATCAATCATTAAATAAGATAATTTCAGCAGACCATTACAAAAATACAGTATAAGAAAAATCCACTAGAGGGGTAGGACTGAGGTGTGCCAGTGGGACGGGATGGTCAAGGAAGACCTCTCTGAGGAAGTCACTTTGGGGACGTGACCGGGGTGTAACCAGCCATGGGGAGATCTGGAGGATTTCCAAGCAAAATGTGCCAGAAGTGCAAAGGTCCGGAGGCAGGAAAGAAGTGTAGCATCTTCAAAGGACGAAAACAGCCCGGGTGATGGGAGCACACTGAGCGAGGGAGAGAATGGGGTGAGAAGGGATTGGAGAGGAGGGGCCTTAGTTCTGAGTACTTGTGAGAAGGAGGGCTTCATTCCGAGTGCCCGATTCACATTTTAAACACGATATTCCTGGCTGTTGTGTAGGAAAGAGATTGTAGAAAGAAAATAGAAAAACAGGAAGACCAATTAGGGGGCCTTTCAATAGTGCAGCAGGAGATTTGGTGGCGTGGTAGCAGTGGGGTGATAAGAAAAGGGTCTGGGTATTTGTGGAAGTGGTGCTAAGAGTCTCTCATGGCTTGACCATGAAGGGTGCATGAAGTGCTTAGCACACGGCCAGGTGATGTCTTAATCATGGGTACTGTGATGGCGGGCTGGATAACTGTGGGGTGCTCCCCTTTCCTTCCAGCACTGGCCCCCGACTTCAGGCTGAATCCTGTAAGGCGCCTGATCCCTGCAGCCCGCGGGGGAGAGGTCATTATCCCCTGTCAGCCCCGGGCAGCTCCAAAAGCTGTGGTGCTCTGGAGCAAAGGCACTGAGATTTTGGTCAACAGCAGCAGGTACAACCCGCACCGCACCCTACCCCACGCAATTCCTGCTCCCCTTCATTCTCCTTGGAGGTGAATCCCTCCCCAGGACTACAGTGTGTCTGTGGGGGGGGCGGGGCGGATCTCCTCTGTCCTTGCTACAGAGTGACTGTAACTCCGGATGGCACGTTGATCATAAGAAACATCAGTCGGTCAGATGAAGGCAAATACACCTGCTTCGCTGAGAATTTCATGGGCAAAGCCAACAGCACCGGCATCCTGTCTGTGCGAGGTAAGGGGTGTGGTTTGGCCGAGGTTGGTGGACTCGGCCACCAGGGGGCGCCATACCTCCTCTTGGTCCTGCTCTTGTGGTCCCACAGTCCTCCCAGTTTGGTTTTGAGACTGCTCCAGGATGCAATTTCACTTGGGACCACCCTCTGGCTGCCATTCAGAATCTAGTCCTGGCTCCCTGCCACACCCTCAGGGGCTGCTGGGAGGTCAGGATACCGTTGCCATGCTGCCTCTTCTCATCCTGGGGCCTAGGGCCAACCCTTTTGCCTCATCTGCTCAGAGCCCTTGTTTTCCTGGCAGATGCAACCAAGATCACTCTGGCCCCCTCCAGTGCCGACATCAACTTGGGGGACAACCTGACCCTGCAGTGCCACGCCTCCCATGACCCCACCATGGACCTCACCTTCATCTGGACTTTGGATGACTTCCCCATTGACTCCGATAAGCCTGGGGGTCACTACCGGAGGGCCGGTGTGGTGAGGCCTGAGACCGAGGACCCAGGGCTCCTCCCTCCCTCTCAGTAGACAGGGTCCCCAAGATGTCCCTGCCCACCCCAGCCCCAAAGCCTTTCCCCATTCCCGCAGGAATGCCAACCGCGGCAAACTCACCCTCGGATGCGTAACCAGCCTCCTTCAGATTGGCAGTTCCCTGGATTGCCCCTAGTCCGTGCATTTAGGAGAAGTTAGGGACAAACCCGGAATTCTAGGTGCTCGTAAGACTCACCCCACCACCGCTCGCGTCGTCCTGCACCCCTGCCCCGCCAGCACGCACAGCCTCGTCCACTCGGACCACTGCTGACCGCCTTGTGTAATGAACTGTGGTTTGGTGCCCAGAGGTGCTAGGTGGGGAGCAGCTGCCCCTCCCGCGGAACATATAGGGGCACCCAGGGAGCAGGGGACGCCAAGCCCTGCCTCCTGCGTGTCTCCGGCTCACTGGCTGGCCAGAGCCGGGCCCCCTGACCTGCCCTCCTCCTGTTCCCTGTGCACAGAAGGAGACGGTTGGGGATCTGACCATCCTGAATGCTCAGCTGCGTCACAGCGGAAAGTACACATGTGTGGCCCAGACGGTGGTGGACAGCGCGTCCAAGGAGGCCACAGTCCTGGTCCGAGGTAACAGGGTTTCCCACTCCCACCTCCAGCCCACTCCCTCAGAGGCCATCAGGGCTCTTCTGGCCTTTGCTCCCTAGCTCCCCTCCTCCGCCGGAGAGCTGTGGGGGGCGGGGGGGTTCTGCTGATAGAAGCTCCCTGAGTTGAACTTAGCTGGTGGTTCTTCGCAGATCCTAAGTGAATAGAATATTCCTCCTCCAAAACCAAAATTTTAAAAATCCATTCTTTAAGTTCATCTCAAGAGTGGAGAACTTGGCTGAGGCCAGAAATTTTCAGGGCCTAGCGCTTGGAAATCCAGACACACACATCTCTGTTCGAGGTGCTCTGTGACGCCTCCAGCCTTAGACAACACCCCTCCCCGCCACCACAAATCCACTGCCCCCCCCCCCACTCTCCCACCAGGTGTGTGTTTGTGGCGCCCTCTGCTGCCCCCACTTGGTCCTGCACCAGCCCAAACCAGCCTGGAGAAGGTTGGCTCGTTTGAAGCTGCCCAATTCTCACCCACAATTCTCTGACTTCTGGGTGCAGGTCCACCAGGTCCCCCAGGAGGTGTGGTGGTAAGGGATATTGGCGACACCACTGTCCAGCTCAGCTGGAGCCGTGGCTTCGACAACCACAGCCCCATTGCCAAGTACACCCTGCAAGCTCGCACTCCACCTGCAGGGAAGTGGAAGCAAGTTCGGACCAGTAAGTGTGAGCTGCCTCCCTGCACTGTCAGTGCTGATAAGGCCTGGCTGTGTGCCAGAAGTGGGGACGGGGGTCAGAAGGCTGGGGCTGAGCCTGGAGCTTCACAGAGGGACAAGCTTGGGCCATCTGCCCACAGAGCGCTCCCAGGCCAGAGGGGAGATGGGTTCCATGGATAGCCGGAGAGCAGGGTGAGAAGTGGGAGTGGCAGAGCTCGGTCTGCACCCTCGAAACACTGGCAGGAATATCACTGGGGCGATGACCACACACATCGGGATGTAGGGTGTGCAGACACCAGCAAAGGCTCCCGGGCAGGGAGGACTACTGGTTTTCTGGTCACTTCTGAAGGAGGTGCTGAACACTTAGTGTGGGTCAAGCTCCACATCGACGGTAGAGTACCAGGAAGTAGTTCAGGCCCAGTCCCTTCCCCCTCCACCCAGACCAATGAACAGATGCCGGAACACCAACTCGCTGGTACCTTGCAGATCCCGCCAACATTGAGGGCAATGCGGAGACCGCCCAGGTGCTGGGCCTCACACCCTGGATGGACTATGAGTTCCGGGTCATTGCCAGCAACATCCTGGGCACTGGGGAGCCCAGTGGGCCCTCCAGCAAAATCCGGACCAAGGAAGCAGGTCAGAGTCCTGTGTGTCCCACAGAGAAGCAACTCGGGGCACAGACCCTAGGCCCCCCTAAAGGCAGCCCTGAGCAGACCGCTGATACGCAGAGCTCCAGCCCTGGGGCCAGGCCTCGGACTATCCAACCAGACAGACAGACGGGGAAGGAGCGCGGTTCAGGGCCAGGCCGCTGAGCTGCTCGGTGCTGCGGGCCCTGGGCCCAGCCTGTCCACAGACCTCGCTTAAAACACTGGCCGACCTTACACCTCTATGAATCTACAATATCTCTAAACAAAAAGCTTTTTTTTTTTTCATGGAAAAGCCAAAGTTTGGAAAAGGGAAGGGTCACACTGGCAAAGCCTGGACTTGAACCCAGGACCATGGGGTGGTGGGCAGATGTCCTCCTGGGAACTGCATGAGCTGCAAAAATCAGTTCATGAGGAAGGTGTGAGTGTGAGAGTGTGTGTAAGTAGGTGCGTGTGCATGTGCATGAGAGTGAGTGACTGGGTGTGTGTGTTGTGCAGAGGCCTAGGGAAGCGTCAGCATCTCCAAACCCTCCAGGTGGTTCCTCTGGGAGCAGGAGGACTGGACGCCTGCCCACAAGCTCCTGAAAGGCAGTGTCAGGGTCAGACGGGGAAGGAAGGGAAGAGACCCGGGCGGGCTCTGCCGGGGCTCCTGCCCACCATCGGAGCCTTCCGCAGGTCTGCAGGCGCGGCACGAGAGCCCGTTGGTACACACAGGCCCAGGGAAAAGCGCCAGGACTGAAAATCTGCCTCCGTAAGTGGAGGGCAGGGAAAGACCCTAGAAAGAGGCAGGACCCTCCGTCTGGCAAGTAACAGGGCTTATTGAGGGGACTGACGGGCGGGTGGACTTGAGCAGCTGCCAGGTGAGGTGTTGTGCTCTGTGCTGCCAGCCAGGCCCCGGAGAGTTACACAGGGTAAGGGGGGAGTACTCAGAGGCACTAAGTACTAGGTGCTAATGGATATTGCCGGGCACAGGAAATTACTTTGCATGCTCGAGCAGGTCAAGGGCCTATTCCAGGAACCAGCAAGAGGCAGGAGGCAGGGGAGGGATGCTGATTTGTGTCAGAAGGAACATCGATCCGACAGTCTCTGAGGGGGTTTCGGAAAGAAGCCTCCATTCTGGTTTGAAGGACGTACAGCGGTCACTTCGAGGAACAGTCCCTCCTCCACAGAGCCCAGATCTGGGGTGGGCAGCACGGACTCAGGGCCCCGCCTCTGCGGCCCCGCCCACCCAGGCCCGCCCTCTGCAGGTGTGGCGTGGGTCTGCCTTCCCCGTAGATTCCAGTGTGCCCCTGCGGGGCTCTCTGGGCTCTTTCTGGGGTCATTCAGCGTTTCTAACTGGCACTGCTCCTGAGTGAGGAACTCAGAAGCAGCAAGGTCTTCGACCGGACCTCCTGCAGAGGAAGTGTGGGGCGGGGCCTCCTGCGCTCCTGCGGCCCTGGAGCCGATGAGCACGGAGACAGCTGCGGTGCAGGGGGCAGACGGAGGGCTCTGAAATCGGAAGAACGAGTTCAATTCCGGCTGTGACATTTATTAGCTGCCTGACCTTCGGCTGGTCACTTCCCTGCACTGAGCCTTAGTGCCTCCGCCCTGAAAAGGGCGATGAAAACACCCAGCTCTCAGGGGCAGACGGGCCAGGTCTCTAAGGGCTCCTTGCAGATCACAAGCCCCAAACTAGTCGTCCAGCCAAGCGCTAAGTCTCTAGTTGCCGGGTCATTGGCAGAAATATCCGGACCCTCAGCCACGCTACCCTGTGAAGCTTCATGAGCTGATGAAACATATTCTTGTTTTAGTATCACCCTTGTTGAATAATAGAGACAATTAGGACATTACAACTGCCGCAAGAAGAAAAACAATAATAAAACACCCTGCAACCCAAAAGAAGTGCTTTTTTGCATCGATGGCAGTTCTGGTTCACTTCCTGCCCGTAATCTCCAGCAAGCTGGAGCTGGTCTCTGTTACTCGGTTTAAGCCGACTGGGGAAGAGGACAGTGAGCATCTACGGGACACACACGTGCACACACTAGCCACTCTTGTTTAGGGTTATTCTCTTCACAGCCCCTTGAGATGAACATTATCCTCATCGTATGAAGGGGAATCAGGCTCAGAGAGGTTAAGTCACTTGCTCAGGAAACACAGCTAGTAAATGGCACAGGAAGGATTTGATCATGGGCCTGCCTGACTGCCGTGCCCACGTCCACAGGGACTGTTAGAGGACAGAGCCAGGGCCCTTCTGAAGGGGTGTCCCCATCCTAGAACACGTGACAGGCCTAGGCCCAGGGTTTCTGTCCCCTCACTGCCCGTTAACAAGCCACACCCGTGTCCCTCCGCCCTGACAGCCCCCTCGGTGGCCCCCTCGGGACTCAGCGGAGGTGGTGGAGCCCCTGGAGAGCTCATCGTCAACTGGACGGTAAGCTGCGGGGACAGAGGCAGAGTGTGCCTCCGGTTCTCTGGGGGACAGGTCCTGCCTCCCTCACCCCAGCGCTGCCTCGCCTCTGCCTGCAGCAGCCTGTGAGGCGGCCCCAGACAGAGCCACTGTACAGTCCGCTCCAGAGCGGGCGTCCCCTCCCCGCCCCAACACCTGCTGCCTCTCGCAGGAGCACCCACGCAGGACACAGACCACCCCAGGCACACGTGTCCTGGTGAAGGTTGGGTAGGGCCGGGGGGTGAGCAGGAACGCACCCGAGGCCCTTCACCCATGCCGCGCTCTCGCCCCCCAGCCCATGTCACGGGAGTACCAGAACGGAGACGGCTTCGGCTACCTGCTGTCCTTCCGCAGGCAGGGCAGCACGAGCTGGCAGACCGCCCGGGTGCTCGGCGCCGACACCCAGTACTTCGTCTACAGCAACGAGAGCGTCCGGCCCTACACGCCCTTTGAGGTTAAGATCCGAAGCTACAACCGCCGTGGGGACGGGCCTGAGAGCCTCACGGCCCTCGTGTACTCGGCTGAGGAAGGTGGGTCGCCCCGGGCCCACCCTGCACCCCACCCCAACTGCTTGTCCCTGGGGGGTAGGGTGGGTAATGCTACTCCCCATTCCCCACACCCCCTCAGCTCCATAGTTGGGGGGGACCACCTGGGTTCTAAGCCATTGGCCTCGTTTCTAGCCCTTGCCACCTGGCCCCCTCAGGCCTGGGGAAGGAAAGGGAGGCTCTCCGGTTTCCCTACCCCTCTTCCCCCACCCCATAAGGCCTACATCCTGGACCCTGGGCTAAAAAGTCCTGGGCAAGGGCCGTCACAGTGTGACGGCTGCTCTGCAGGACACAGGGAAACCCCAGGAATCCAAACCCATTCTTTATCGATCCCCAGAGCCCAGGGTGGCCCCCACCAAGGTCTGGGCCAAGGGGGTCTCATCCTCAGAGATGAACGTGACCTGGGAACCTGTGCAGCAGGACATGAACGGGATCCTCCTGGGGTACGAGGTGAGCACTGACCCGGGGGCGGGGGGGTTTCAAGGCCGGGGTGGGGCGCACCTCACAGCTCATCAGTCATTCCTTCCTGGACCACTCATTTGCTAATGTGCAAACAGTACCTGGTCTGTGTAGCACCCTGAATGCAGCCTTAGCTAAGCCCCCACAGCTGGGGCTCACTGGGGAGGGCAGGCCTTGGAGCAAAGGCGAGGCTAGCCCGAGCACTGGAAGGTGTGGGCGCCTAGGAGAGGAGGGGCAGGGCAGGTTCTGGAAGGGGCGCGGCCTGTCCCTTCCATGCCGGGGCCCAGCTAGTGTGGTACCCTCAGGCCGCAGAGAATAGCATGGCCCCCCTATGTACTAACTGATCATTGCATCCCCAGGAAACACTGGGCCCAGCAGTTTCTGGCCTGAGCCCTGGACCTCTGATGAGTCCACACTAGGGTGGGTGTGGAGTAGGAGGAGGGAGAGGAACCCGAGAGGAAGGGGAAAAGGAAAAGCAAGGAATATCACATGTCCCTGCCTCAGGAAGGGCCCTCCGGCCTGATTACCAGTGCTGTGGTTAATGCCACTGCTGGAGCACAACAGGTGAGACCAGCCCCGCTGAGGACAGGACTCCCAGCTCCACCTCTGATGTGGGAGAATAGTTTGCAGGTCTTAATATTATGATGGCTACTGAAAGGGGTTTGCACTTTTGGGGCAGCCATTATAAGTTGGCAGGGGATTGGGGGACAACTCTGCAAGTGCAAATATGCATCTCATAATCTGTAAATAATCATGTAGGTTAGGTTCCAGTAGGTCACTGACTATATGCCCATCCCCCACTCTCACCGGCCACCACCAGCTCCCTGCTGGGCACTGGCAAGGCAGCAGGGACTTACCCTCACGGACTTGTCCCTGCTCTCTTGAAGCTCTCGATCCAATGTCCAGCTTCTGAGACTCAAGACTGAGTCATGCCCTGGTCAGGTAGCTCAGTTGGTTAAAGCTTCATCCTGATACCACAAGGCTGTGGGTTCAATCCCCAGTCAGGGCACATACAAGAATCAACCAAAGAGGACTTCTGGCCAAGACAGAGGCATAGGTAGACACACTGTGCTTCCTCGCACAACCAAAAGAAGGACAACAACAACTTAAAAACAAAAAGCAACCAGAACTGACAGAAAACCAAACTATGGAAGTCCAACAACCAAGGAGTTAAAGAAGAAACACTCATTCAGACCAGTAGGAAGGGCAGGGACGGGCAGCCGGGACTCACAGCAAGGCAGCGGCTGGTGGACCTGGCGAGGTGGTGGGTTGTGGAGCGGACGGTCCCACATCACGTGCAGATAAACCTGGAGGAACAACGGGGGAGCGAAACAGACTGCACAACCCAAGGTTCCAGTGTGGGAAAATAAAGCCTCAAGCCTCTGACTGAAAACACCTGTGGGGGTTGAGGCGGCAGTGGGAGAAACTCCCAGCCTCACAGGAGAGTTCGTTGGAGAGACCCACAGGGTCCTAGAATGTACACAAGCCCACTCACATGGGAATCAGCACCAGAAGGGCCCAGTTTGACTGTGTGTAGTGGGGGAAGTGATTGAAAACCGGCAGAGAGCAGAGCAAGCACCATTGTTCCCTCTCAGACCCCTGCCTCACATACAGCATCATAACCCAGGGACTAGGTTGCCCCACCCTGGTGAACACCTAAGGCTCCACCCCTCACTACATAACAGATGTGTTGAGACAAAAAAAGATGACCCAAATGAAGGAACAGATCAAAGCTCCAGAAAAAATACAACTAAGTGACAAAGAGATAGCCAACCTATCAGAACAGTTGCACGGTTCAAAACACTTATAATCAGCATGCTCACAGAATTGGTTGAATTTGGTTGCAAATTAGAGGAAAAAATGAAGGCTATGAAGAGTGAAATAAAGGAAAATGTACAGGGAACCAACAGTGAAGGAAAGGAAACAGGGACTCAAATCAATGATGTGGACCAGAAGGAAGAAAGAAACATTCAACCAGAACAGAATGAATAAACAAGAATTCAAAAAAATGAGGAGAGGCTTAGGAACCTCCAGGACATCTTTAAACATTCCAACATCCGAATCATAGGGGTGCCAGAAGGAGAAGAGGAAGACCAAGAAATGGAAAACTTATTTGAAAAAATAATGAAGGAGAACTTCCCCAATCTGGCAAAGGAAATAGACTTCCAGGAAGTCCAGGAAGCTCAGAGAGTCCCAAAGAAGTTGGACACAAGGAAGCACACACCAAGGCACATCATAATTATATAACCCATGATTAAAGATAAGGAGAGAATCCTAGAAGCAGCAAGAGAAAAGGAGACAGTTATCTACAAAGGAGTGCCCATAAGACTGTCAGTTGATTTCTCAAAAGAAATCTTGCAGGCAAGAAGGGGCTGGAAAGAAATATTAAAAGACACGAAAGGCAAGGACCTCCACCCAAGATTGCTCTAGTCAGCAAAGCTATCATTTAGAGTGGGAGGGCAGATAAAGTGCTTTCCAGATAAGGTCAAGTTAAAGGAGTTCATCATCACCAAGACCTTATTATATGAAATGTTAAAGGGACTTATCTAAGAAAAAGATAAAAAATATGAGCAGCAAAATGCCAACAAACTCACAGTTATTAACAACCAAACCTAAAACAAAAACAAAAACAAAATCAAACTAAGCAGACAAGTAGAACAGGAAAAGAACCACAGAAATGGAGATCACATGGAGGGTTATCAACAGGGGAGTTGGAGGGGGAGAGAGGGGGAAAAGGTACAGAGAATAAGTAGCATAGATGGTAGGTAGAAAATAGACAGGGTGGTGTTAAGAACAGTATAGGAATTGTAGAAGGCAAAGAACTTACACGTATGACCCATGGACATGAACTAAAAAGGGGGAATGCGGGTGGGAGGGGGTGTGCAGGGTAGAGGGGAATAAAGGGGCAGGAGGAAATGGGACAACTGTAATAGCATAATAAATAAAATATATTTAATTAAAAAATTTCTAAATGAATTTATGTTTAAAAAAACAATGAATGCATAAGTAATTGGAACAACAAATCCTTGTCTCTCTCTCTCTCCCTCTCTTTGTCTCTCCCTCTCTGCACCTCCTTCCTCTCTCGCTCTAAAATCAATTAAAAGAAAAAAAAAGGCTGAGTCACAAGGACCAGAGTGAGCAGGAGAGGAACAGAATGTAGGTGACCAGGGCCAGGGTCAGGGGGCTCTGAGGTCCTGAACCTAGCTGCTCACCCTAGGGTGTCCTGGTCCCCTTCAGATTCGCTACTGGAAAGTTGGGGACAAAGAAGCAGCCGCTGACCGAGTGAGGACAGCAGGGCTGGACACCAGTGCTCGAGTCACTGACCTGCACCCCAACACCAAGTACCATGTGACCGTGCGGGCCTACAACCGAGCGGGCACTGGGCCCGCCAGCCCTTCCGCCAATGCCACGACCATGAAGCCCCGTGAGTCTGTTGGCCCAGCGTGAGGGAGGGGCGTGTCTTTGGGGTGGGGGGTTCCTATGTCCTCCAACACAAGACAGATGCTCTCGCCCAGTGGTCCTCAACCTTTTGGCACGAGGGGCAGGTCTTGGGGAAGACAGTGTTTCCACAGGCCAGGGCTGGAGGGGTGGTTTGGGGATGATTCAAGTGCATTGTGTTCAGGCTCATCTCCTGCGGTGCAGCCTGGCTCCTAACAGGCCCAGGCTGGTACCGGTCCACAGCCCGGGGGTGGCGACACCTGCTTCAGCCCAGAAGCCCTGGGCTGGACTGAAACAGGACAGCAAGCCCAGAGAAAATAAGGGGGTGGAGTTCATGGCTTCTGAATGGCTCTCTTCTCCAGACTTTGCGTTTTCACGGGCTTGTGTCTTAGGCAGCTATGACTGAATGTTCTGGCCTACCTGCTGAGGCAGACATTTATGAAAAGGCTGGCTAAAGGCAGGGGCGGCAGGGCGGTGGTGGGGAGGGTGGCGGTGAGAAAACATTCAGAAGCGCCCAACTTCCTCCCTCCTCTGGCAGCTCCACAGCGACCTCCTGGCAACATCTCCTGGACTTTCTTGAGCTCCAGACTTAGTGTTAAGTGGGACCCTGTGGTCCCTCTCCGAAATGAGTCTGCAGTCACTGGCTATAAGGTAAGGAAGGGATCCGGCCAGCACTGAATGGTGAGGAACAGCCCAGCTGCATCCCCAGGGCACACAGGAGGGCTGCCATTTCTAGCAGGAGCGACCTGAGGCAGACACAGGCAAAGCGTCTGTGACTGTGAGACGTAGCAGGTGCAGGAGTGGTTCTCCAGGTAACTGGCAGTAGACGCCATAAGAAAGGGGGTAGGCGGTGCTGTTACTGGACGGGACTGGGCCTGAGGGATCTGCTTGGGCCAGCCCGGAGTGTGTGGGTTTTGACCTTGTGCAGGCAAGATTTCACAACACAGGCCAGGTGACTTCGAGAGTATGTTTCGTAAAGCTGGGGACAATGAAATGAAGGAAAGGCTTAGGATAGAGCCTAGGCAGACTGCTTTGACCTTTTAGAAGCGTTATTAGAAAGAAGTAGACCACGCTGGGCTGCATGAGCTCGCTGAGAAGCAGAAGTCGCAGCCGCCACAGCGAGCCCAGATGGGGCTGCCGTCAGCCCACTGGGAAGCCAGAGGGAAGGGGGCCTTGGAGACAGACAGGGTCAGGGGGTTAGCCCCAGATGAGTTGCTGCTGCCCACTGCTCTCCTGGTTGCAAGTCTTGCGGGGACCCCCAGAGGTTAGGAGAAAGAGCAGAGATACTTGCTAAGTGAGAAAGGTGTGGGTGTGCTCTAGAGAGAGCAGAGCTGGGTCTTTTGTTGGCTTTCGGCAATCCCAGGGGAGGTCTCAGGGGAGGGTCTTACAGAATGTTCGATAGCTTTCCAGATGTGTCCTTCGATATGATGATTCACTGAAATGTGCGTCCAGAGGGGTCAGGGCTATTTTCTGGTTAGTTTCACTTTTAAAGAACACCATCAAAGAGGGAGGGAATGTGTAAACTGTGTGCTTCTAATTGTCCTTAGGGAAGACAAAGCCTTGTGATTCATTAACTGGCTGTAAATTGTTCCAATTGTTTGGCCTTGTTTAATTCTTTTGTCTCAGTTTCCCTTATTCCATTTGTCAAGGACTACTTTCCCTAGCTTCTCACTGTCCTGCCCCGGTATATATGGCTGCAGAAAGGCAGGGCTCATGGGGGCAGCGATGGGCTAGGTGAAATCTGGGGTCCTCCTAGCCTAAGGGGTCTGCAAAAACAGTACAGCTGCTTGCAAGCTTTTCTCCAGCCATGAGGCTCTTGTTCAAGAGCCGGGTCCTGTTCAACCTGAAACAGAAGGTGGGAGGAAGCGGGCGCTCCAGGGCCCAGAACCACAGGGGCTCCTCCCAGAGCCTGGAGCTGGGGAAGAGAGAAGAACCGGCCTTGGTTAAGTAGCTGCACTGGGCTTCACCTCCCCACAGATGCTGTACCAGAATGACTTACACCCGACCGCCACGCTCCACTTCACCAGCAAGAACCGGATAGAAATCGCAGTTCCCGAAGACAACGGCCATGCCCTGGTGCAGATTCGGGCCACGGGGCCTGGTGGGGACGGGACCCCTGCGCAAGTCCACATCGCGAGGAATGGAGGTGCTGCCTCTCCCCTCCCAGCCCCCCAGGAGTATTAGGGCCCATTCAGATGCCTGGTGAGGGAATCTTTCACACTCAGGCCAGCGCCAGTCCTGCCAGACGCTCCAGGGGAGAGAGGAAAGCAGGCGGGAGCCAAGTGCCAAGTAGCCCTGGGCCTGCCCTTGCTCTCCCTCCCCCAACCCCAGCACCCCCAAAGGCTGGGGAAGTGTGAGCTCTTTTCAGGGGGACAGGGGAGGCTGAGGACCACAAAGCCAAGGCCCTACAAGTCCTATAGGAGTGGGGCTGAGATCACACTGCATCCTGAAAGCCTGCCCTCTGTGAGCCCCCACGGAAAGGTCTGGATTCGTCCAGAGAGGGGGGTGGGGTGGGGCGGGCCCAGCCAACCCAGCCCCTCATGTCTGTCCCTTGCTTCCAGGCACCAGCATGATGGTGGAGAACTCAGCCGTCCGCCCAGCCCCACGCTCCGGCGCCGTCCTCTCCCACTCCCTGGCGATGCTGATCCTCATGGGCTGCCTGGAGCTCTGACTCGCACCCCTCCCTCTCCACCACGGCCAGACACCCACCTCGGATGGACGCAGCCAGCTGGCCCCGGTCCCTTCCTGATGCCGAGATGGCCCAACACTGTGCCTGAGAATGGCTGGCTCTAAATACCTACTTTAGACAGTGCCCTTTTTGTAGGAGGTAGGTGTTTCATATTCTGCCACAGGACAGAACCCACGTGAGGATTTTTTTTCTTTAAATCAAGAGGCACCAGGCAGTAACTTCCGTGATGGCACCGAGCCCTCACCCGGGCCCTCTCGGCTGCCTGGGCGGCCAGAACAGGCCCCTGGGAAGGAAGGGTCTGAAGCATCTAGCTGCACGTCTGTGGAGGCAGCACCCTGGGACGGCACCTGGACTCTGTCCCCTGAGAGCCGACACCCAGACCCGCGGGGACTCCGGATGTGGCCGGGCTGAAGTGGGACGAGGCACAAACAGACATCCCCCAGCCTAAGGCGAGAGCCAACCCTGGGACCAAGGACTCGCTGACTTTCTCAGGGGGCAACACGGCCAGACCCTGACACAGCCCTCAATGGCTCCCTGGAGGCCCTGGCCACCTGGCCAGTGGCCGAGCACCAGAGCCCCGTATCGGGGGCCAAGGGCCCCCAGCCCTGCAGCTCGGGGTGGGGGGACCCTCCAGACTCCTGGGGCTGAGGGCCGATGAGAGCTCAGAGGCCGGGACACCGGGGGGAGAGGGGCACCAGACTCAGCCTGATGTGCCCTGTTAGCCAACACTGCCGACCCGACCCTGTCACCTCTGAGGGACAGAGGCCACTACAGGTGGCTGGGTGACTAAAGGGCTTATCTTGGGGAGGCCCCTCCCCAGCAAGACCCATCCCGCACAGTCCCTCCGGGGATGGGGCAGGAGACCTGAGATGGGGGCGTGTGCCGCCCTCTTCCTCCAGCTCAGCCCGCAGGCCCCAGGATTCCACTCTCCCAGCGCGGCCCCCTCACGCCCGGAGAGTAAATGGCATCAGTTCTGTGTGCCGCAGAGTCGGGAGCTGTCTGAGAAGGACAACAGATAAATGTGGCCCTGCCTGCTCTCAGGAACACCCAGGACCACCTGGCAAGACCTGTCCCTGGATGCCTGAAACCGCTCTTTTGCATTTCCCCAGAAGAAAAAGAGGTTAATAAATGCTCTGGGTATATTACCAGTCAGAACATCGGAGCTGGAGGAGGCTTTGGGGCTCACCTTGTCCAAGCCCCTCACTTCACAGATGAGGAAACTGAGCTCGAACTTCCCAAGGTCACACAGTGTGACCGTGATGGGGCTCAGACAAGGGCTGGAGTCTCCAGTCTCCTTGTCCATCCAGAGGAGGGGTCAGTGCCGAATGGCCAGGGCCTGGTAACATGGTGGTTAAGAAGGAGGGTGGGCTATGAAAACTCTGCTTTAAGAGGTTCTGGTGGGGATCATGGGGGTAAGCGACCTGGTGGGTCCCAGCCCACGGCGTGGGCAGACTCCAGGAGACATCGGTCCTTCTTTGCCTCCTGGGCCCAGCGTCTGCTAGGACCTCCATACACAGTGCTGGCTTGAGCCCCCGCCCCCCTTACCTTTGCTCCAAGAAGAGGCCACAGCAAGGACAGGGATCCCCAAATGCAGGAAGTAGTAGCAACACAACCTGTGCTCTGACAGGTGGCCCGTGACATCCAGGAGCATCAGGACAGGCATCCTGTAGGGGACAGGCCCCCTAAGCCTGATTTCTGTAGTTTATAGTTAGAGCTCTATTTTGCTATGGTTTTTTAAACTTTTAAGTCCTGCTCTATTTTCCTGGGCAGGTTTATGTTGAAGTTTTTACCCACTACAGTTTTTTAGAAAGGTAAGCTCACACCCTTCTCCTTACCACTGCGGCACCGCCCCCACCCCCAGCCCAGGACATCAGATCCCGCCCTCCTCACCTGCTCCCATCCAGCCCCTCATGCAAGGGGCTGGGGGCTCAGCTATGCGACCATTCCGTTACAGGGACCCCGACCTCAGCCCAACATCCATGTTGACCTCCGTGGCTGTGGTTTGGCCGTGCCCAGCTCCATCAGAAAGGGGATGCCCAAAGAAAGGAATCTTCTTCCAAGGTTTAGCTGATTCTGTCCTCACTGCCTTGGGCTGGGGCAGGGGAGCAGGGGACAGGTGTCAGTGCTGGCTAAGAGGGATGAGCTGGCTTGTGCCGACCCAGTGCGGCTGGAGGCTGCAGTCCCTGTTTGCTTGCGTCAAAGACACAACTAAGTGTCTTAGTTCTAAGGAGGCCCATTAGCAGCAGGGAGGAAGACAGGCCTGCTGGGAAGCTGAGGGGTGATACTCAACTAGCAAAACTCAGCCCCAGGAAAACCTAGCCACTGTGCAGGGACAGCTGCTCAGGGGGCGCAGACCTAAACTGAAGCCATGTCTGGCCACCTGAGACTTCAGGTAGAGCTCAGGTTTAATAAAAGTGTAGGTGACCTGAGGACACGCAGGCTTGTCACATGTAATAGCCTCCTGTTGGGAGGCCTGTACAGGGATTGCTGCAGGCAGAACAGTTAGATGGTTTCTCAGATTTCCTCCCTGCCCAAGGGGCCTCTGATTTTCCTCTTTGCTTGGAAGGGCTCGGGCAGTTGAGGGGGCTCACCCCTGCTGTGGTCTCGACTCGATTCTGGGTCTCTCTCATTCCAAGCTCCAGAGAGGCAGCAAGGGGGACAGCCACAAATGAGTCCTTTGCCCCAGTTTAGTGGCCAGTAAGTGCCTTGGGGACTGGGGACAGAGACAGCCTGCAGACACCACTGCAGGGCGCTGGGCACAAGTTCTCCATTCTGTACTCCCTTGGGCTCAGCCTGCAGGGCTGCCCGGTCCTCACTGCTCTGACTGACTCCACGTACACCTTGCCCTCAGGGAGGACAGCTCTCTCTGGATGGAGGCCTGGGGCCCAGCAAGGTCAGGTTGACTACGTGCGTCAAATGACACCGACGGAGCCAGGGAACAGAAGGGCCGTGGTGGCAAGGGGCGGCGGGTGCTTTTCTTCTGATGAGATGAGGAGACTGAGGTTAGACAGAAACGCCTCTGCAGCGAGACCCTGGAAGAGCAACAGGCTACCTCCTCTGTAAGAAAGCTTTGAGGAATTTTGACAGCCGTTGCTCTGGAGTCTAGGTTAGGTGAGGACTGGAGGGGTGGGGAGATGGCACAGGGTGGGTTGTCCTTCCAGGACTGAGATGCTTAGAACCACAAGGTGCTCGGCACTGGAAGTCTCAGAGCGCCTGTGCGCTGTGCCCCTGCAGTGCTGTCCCAGTCACGGAGGGAGAAGCCTCACCCAGGCAGTCTTTTCCCAGCATGCACCGCCTCTCGGCAGCCCCAGGCACCGCCCAGTCTGTGCCCTGGACAGGAGCCCAAGCCGACCAGGGATGTTGTACTCCCTGCATCCCTCCCTCGGCTAGAGGACTCTTTTCTTCCTGGCCTCAGAATATGACTGCCACTGGGCTCCTCTGTCACAGGGATAGCAGTGTCCTCAACCTTGGCCTTGAGGTCCAGAAGTGGTGCCCCATTTTCCTGGGTCGGCCTAACCTGGGCTCTGTCCTGGGGACAAAGGAGGTGGCCAGAGGCTGCTGGAGTGGTGTGAGGGGTTAGATGGGCGTTTTTAAGGGACTTCCAAGAGCTCCACGGAAAGAGTGCCTGGTCGCCGTGTATGTGTCTGTGAATGGTCACCGGCTTTGGGAGGGTGCAACGGAGGGAAACTGGGGAGGGAAAAGCGCGTCAGGTAGCCTTGCCAAGAGCCCTAGGAAGCCGAGTGCTTCCCGTTGGGCTGTCCCCTGCTTGGCCCCTGGACTCCAACTTTCTCGGCCCATCCAGGGCCTGCAGAGCTTCTTCAAGCTCCCGGCTCGGCAAGGCCCAGGGCTTCCCCAGGCCACTGACGTGACTCGGTTTGTGTTCGAATGCAACCACTCCCGCTGGCCTGTTGTCTGTCTCTCGTATTTATTGTGATGATAGTTACTGACTCTGGTAGCAAGCAGTTCTTAAATAAAGATGGTTTCTCAACCTGCAGAGGGAGCTGGCACCAGCTGTGGCTGTTTTTATCATCAGGCTAAAGCAACCTCCTCGTCCTGTTCCCTAACCCCAGGCTTGCATCCAGTAACTTCACCCTTCGCCCCATCAACTCTACGGAAGTCACAACACACAGCCCATATTGCTGCATTCAGTCCTGGCGGGGGAAAATCAGCCCACGGGGACTCTAAGGCAGGCCCAAGCAGTGCACAGGCAGGCATTTCGCTGGACTGGGTTGGCTTTGCCTAACACAACGGGCAGTAAAGGGCGCTCGTGGATGGTACTCCTGCAAGGTGCCCTGATAGTTAAGACATTGGAAGTACTGACCCAACTGCACTCAAGGGAAGTCTTCTCCCTGCCGAGAGGGAGTGGCCGCCACCTGGAGCCTCGAGGGGCCTCCAGTGTCTGCTCACAGCAGCCACAGTAGTTGAATTCCTAGGCAGTTTCTGGCTGCGACATTCTCCCATGCACCCAACAAACACGTACCAAGTGCCCGTTATGTCTCAGAGCTGTGCAGTGGCATGCCTGTGCAGCGCTGCAAGTGTTCCATCAGCTCCGAGCCAGGCAGGCAGGGCCCCACCACTCACGGCTTGGCCCTGTGCCCGGGGCCAGGTCAGTCCCCAGAAGGGGCCAGCATGGACGGCAACACAGCAGGCTCAACCCTTCCACTTTGCACCAAGGGGCTACTTGGACCACTGGCCACTCTAGAACCCAAATTTTAGTCCAGTCAGCATTTCCTTGACCCTCAGAGGCAGATCACATGCACAGAATTCAATGAACTGAATTGGGCTTAGGTATTTACCAACACACCCAAGCGGCTTTTGTTTTCTTCCCTGTTCAATCCCTTCACACCCTCAGAGTCAAAATTCGAGTCCAACGCACAGAGGGCTACAAGCCTCGAGCCGTGTGATGCTCCGTCCGCGAGGGACCACTGGCTTCTTGGGGAAGCGACTTAAGTCCCCGTCTCTCCGTCTGCAAAATGTGAAAGCGTGCCCCAGTCCTCCTCCCTCCTCAGCAATGCAATTCTGAGTTTCCTACAAAGATGCTTGATGGTCTTCTGAAGTACAGCGAGCCATCTCCCGGCTGCTTCAGCAAGCCGGCCAGTAACACACTGATGCGCGTCAGTAATGACTCTGCCCAGCTCACGTCCAGTCCTTTATGGCTCACCAAGCAGTCCCGTTCCATTCCCAGGATCTCACTCGATCCTCACAATCACGCGTTTCGAAGAGAAGGACCACAAGGGGTCCGTCAGCCTGTTCCGTGACACAGCGCTGGCACAGGCAGGGGCAGAACCCAGGTCTTCAGAAACCCATCTCCGAGGCAGAGAATGGGGGGGAAGGGCGTGTGGAAAATGAAAGATCTTTTCAAAATGAGACCAATAGTAAAGACTCCCTGTGTGTGGACCTAGGCCAGTGGCTCTCAATCTTCACGATAAATCAGAATCACCTGTAAAACGTCTACAAACACAGGTGCTTTGAAGTCATGACTTACCCACATCTAGGGCACTGGGAGGGCCCGGCAGTGACTCCCCAGTGGCCGTGAGCCCGTCTAGGCCCCCAGGCCCGGGGTTTTCGGTGCTGCCCCCACACCACGAGGAGCCAGGGCTCCCTGGAGGCAGCGGGTTCAGGTTTGGAGTAAGGAAAGGCCAAGGGTGGATGTGAGATGCCCTGCTATACCAACAAGCGAGGTCGTACTTAAAGCCCAATGTGGTCACATTAAAAGGGCAAAAGAGCTGACTTGAAGGGACTCCCGCTGGACAAAACTGGAGGCAATTTGAACATCAAAAATACGACAACACTAATAGATCATATATAATTCACCTAACAAGAGAGAGAAGCCCTCGAGACCTCAAAAATAAAGAGCGCCTCTTCTCCACAGAGAACCACAGGTAATAACACAGAAATGACGGATTTGGAGAAGCACCACGCTGCCCGCCCCAACACGTCACAACAGGCAAGGATCGCAAATGGATTCCAGAGCGCCCGCGCCCCTCCCCCGACAGACTAACCACAAACGGGAAAGGTGCACACAGCTGCGGAGAGAGGTCATCACCAGCGGGCCGCCCTGACACCAGGTGCCCCCTGAGATGCTGCAGTAAGCACGCACCATTACTGACATATATGGCTCTGGGCAACACATTTAGGACTTACTCCTCAAAACCTAATTACTAGGGAACGATGACAAATCCAGACTGTGGGACACCACCCAAGACGACGGGCCCAGCTGGACTCTTCAGCCAAATCAGCAGCACAAACCACACAGTGGTGGCAGGGGTCTGCTGTGAGACGAGGTGCAAGAGAAAGCCCTGCATGTAACGTGTTCGTCTTCATCTGACCCCAGATCAACAATTCAACTAAAAACCTCTAAGATTTTAGGGAAAATTTTAAAAATCAACCATATGTCGGATGAGGGAATTGTCTGTCTCCTTAGCTGTGATGAGGATACTGCAGTTATGCAGGAGAACACCCTTATTAGATGTGTGCATGACTTAGGACTAAAGGGTCACAATGTCTGTGACTAGCATTCAAGTGGCTCTGTAAAACCAGGATTATTTAGAAAGATTGTAGCAAAATGTTCCAAGTTGATGATTCTAGGCAAAGGTCTATGGGTGCCACCAAACCTTTCTTTCAATTTTTCTATGGGTCTGACATTTTTAAAAATTAAAAGTAGAGGAAACCATAGAGATCCACTGGCCATAATTGAAACTGAATTAGCACCCTGGGGCTTGGGGTCAGGAGTCTTGTATTTCAAAAGCTCATGCAAGTGGGTCAGACACAGCTGGAGAAGAGAACCACTGGCCCAAGTCTTGGTTTCCGCCACCTCCTCTGTAGCCAGAGAAAAGTGAGGGGAAGAAGTGCTATAATTCCCTCAAATTAGCTTGGCTGGTGGCCAAGAGCCTTTCCCCCAACGGACGCACAAGCCAATGATCTCAGACACAGTCTGAATGGCCTCTGAGGGTCTTAAGATTGGATTTCCCATGGAGGAAGGTACTAGACCACCCTTCAGGGGTCCTGGCTACTGTAAGAAACTGACAACACTTGACCTTCAGGTACTGACAGAGCTAGGAGAGGAGCAGGGAGCAAGCCAACAACTTTTCAGGGGAAACCTATCAGATGAAGATGCCAGTGTTTTGCCAGAAATCAATGTAACACTGAACAGAGGATCCACCCGAGGGTATGGGGAGGGACGATAAACCCTCAACATTCAGTGATGGTCTATTACATACTAAGTCAGACGTCACTGCTAGCCTTCGCTCGGGCACACGTGGGCCTATGCCCCATACAAAGCAATTAGTTCAAACTCTGTTCTAAGAAATTTGAGGAAAACAAAAGCCAGACCGATTATGGGACAATTTAAACGAATTCCAGAAAATTTTAACTAAAGAACAGAAAGGATTAGGTCTCCATATAGCCACTCTCATTTTTATTGAAGAGGAAAAAAAATGTTTTCACTAGAAAAGCTATTATTAATATACCCATCTGTGTGAGCATGCTGCTCAGGAGGGAGGGGGAGGTGGGGGGCTTACAAGCTGTGAAGCACAGAACACGGACGCAGGCTCGGAAGACACAAGTCTTCCCGGCAGTAGGGGAGGTGCCTGCAGTCAGGTCCCCTGGGCACCCAGTGGGCAGGGAAGTTCAGGAAGAGATCCATCTTGTACACAAGAAGTGAGAGATTATTGCCCATGGCTACCACGATGTAGCCCCCTCTCCACATCTCCCGCTCACTCTTTTGGCCCTGGAAGCCCCCCCTCTCAGCGGATCCACAGTCAGGCAGCCAGGACACTCCCCCAAAAATCTAGCTTGGATTCCTAAGCAGCCAAGTCCCACAGCCTGGGCAGCCAGCCCTCAAGAGCAAGGCCTGTTAGGTCTTCCGGCTGGCATTGCTACTGGTCACCCTCAGGCCCCTGAACAAGACAGTGATCACCAACACACTGCCCATCACCCCACTAGCAATTCCTATTCCCAAGGCTATAGCCACCTTCTTTCTCCATGGTGGGCGGTGAGGCCTGGAATGGTTACCCAGATTCACTTCCAGGCCCTCATTTACCAACTTCTGATCCTCAGTAAGGGACTGATGAAAATTCAGGTTCACCAAGTTGGGGGGAAGGACCCTCAACCCAAAATAGAGCCTCTTGACAAGTCTCAAGTTTTTTAGCAACTGCACGTCACACCGGTAGGTCCCAGAGTCATACTCCTGGGCAGATTCAAACTTCACGAAGTGGGAACTGCCGCGGAAGGGCTTGAAGACTTCATCGTCAGTTGAGATGATGCCCCGAGCGAGTCTCCAGGTGAAGCGGAAAGCTTCCTGCCCAATCTCCAGGATGTCTGAACTCAGACAGCTCAGCTCGAACTCCCTTCCCCTGAGGATGGTGAAGTGGAGCATCCCGCAGATCCAGTTGGTCAGACACTCCAGGCGCCGAGACTCACACTTCCTCCTCACTCCATCCGGGCCCACCTCACAGACGGTCTCCTCCTTGTAGCCGAGGCCACAGGTGACAGTACAGGTGGTGGCATTTACAGTAATGTTCCCCACAGCTTCTTGCAGCTTCTTAGGGATGGCCAGTGTTTTAGGTAAAGTCACCACCAAGGGCAAATGGAAGGCCAATGCCAGACTTCCCAGGATAAAACTAACAGCCAAAATCTTCATGTCTCAGCAGACATTTCGCCACCCTCAGCCAGCACCCCAAGGCATTCTAGTTGAATCTTCTACGGTACTGAGGAACGGAGGAACGAAGGAACTCAGTTCCTTCGACATGAGATATCTTTCACAATCAAAGGATAGGGTGCACGCACTGCCAATAAAACACTGCCACTTAATAAACCAGAGTCCAATCCTCATGAACAGGTGAGGCCGCAGGGCAAGGGGAAAAGCCACAGTGTTGCTGCTTTCCCATCTCTGCTAGTTCATGACCCCTTACCGGTCTTCATTCTTTCCACATCCTTTTACTGAATGTAAATGCACCTCTTGGGAAGACAAAGAGGAAGATTTTAGAAGCTAAAGTGAATTTCCAAATTACCTCAAGTGCACTGAAGATAGACTTTTCCTCCCTCTTTCCCCACCCATCAAATTGTGGGATCTAATTTAAAGGGTTTCAAAATCCCAGTTAAATCTAACCAAATAAGAAATCAAACAAGAAGTCTTAAAAAGAGAGAGAGAAGATTAACTTGAATTAAGTTACTGACTCTCAATGCTCCTAATCCTTCTACAAAATGGATTAAGAAACTCTGGACCGGAAGGTAAGTGACTTATCCTTCCTGAATTTTCTATTTCTAATTCCTCCTTTGTAAATGAAAACCTTCCTGTTTCAGGAAGGTCATTCTGAACATCAAATGACAGTGCACATAAAAGTACTTTGGAAAGAGTGAAACACTGCTGGTGTGTAAGGAATTACAAATAGAAATGCAAGTTCATGAAGACAAGGACCTCGAGCCCTTTTAGAACCCAAATGTTTGTCAGCAAGGTAGGCAGTATTAAATGCAGCTCTTGTCCACCTTCTAGGCACTTTTCCCTCCCAAAGGCACCAAAGAAATTTTCAGGAGAGGATGCCCAATTGTCCCTGCCTCTCGGCCTGGCCTATCCGCTTCACTCTACAGAACAGAGGAACCCTGCTCTGTCGCCGGGGCCAGCGTTGCTATGAAACAGCTATGATGTCAAAGACAGACTCTCAGTCACATAATAGGGAAGATTAATACATAAACACTCAGATCTGATGATGAAAAGCGAAGACTTAAATAGATCTTATGAAACATTGTTTATGAGATAGTATTCAATGGGTTCTAAAGTTAATTTAATCTACTGGGGAAAAAGGCTAGTGAAGAGGGATTTGACAGTACTTACGGGTTAAGAAAGCTTGGTGAAGGCCGAAAGCTCTGCTTGCATTTCACAACCTCTAGAATGCCTCCTGGCCCGGGGCCTCGACAGAGCAGTTACACACACTTACACTGAACTTAAAAATTTGAAGAGAGATCATCCCAATCTTTTCAATGTACCACCTTTTGTTTGAATTGTTTATTTGTAATGTCCAGAGGCAGGAACCTGGACGACCTGACCATCCCTTACCCCTCCCAGCTCTGCATGTCCGCAAAGAAGGTCTTGTATCAGCACAGAAGCTGCCTTTTCTGTCCTGCAAAGCGAAGTGGCAGTGAGCTTAGGAAGTGATCAGTGCCTACAAACAAGCATCTACACCTGTTCTTTAATAAACATCCGATTTTATTGACAAGGCATTAAAGCTTCAGCAAGAAATACCCAAGGCTAAGTCTTGTCTTGTACAAAACTACAGAACATTAAAAAACAAAAGGGGAGATGACAAAAGGGAAGAAGAGAATATGCTTGTATTGTACACATTGAGAAAATCAAACTGAAATGGACTGAGGTTTAATGAGCTGAAAAATAGTCTAAAGGCATAAATAATTATTAGGAGCCACTGCCAGGAACTTTGTATCACACAGTCTGTACACTACAGCAGCGCCACAGCAGAGAGACAAGGAATGGGAATGATGTTTGCAGACGGAAGTGTTGGTGAGCCACCTACTGACCTCGACCACGGTGGGAGACGGAACATGAGGAGCAATTCACAGAACAAGCATTTGAGAAAAAAGTAGTGGCAGCTAAAAATATAGATATGTTGCAACAGACTCAAGAAGAGGTCTTCAGTTACTGAATAGTTTGTTCTAAAAGATGGAATAGGAGAAAGAGGCTCTCACTGATGTGTTCTACTTTGATTTCTATCCTAAAATCCAAAAGGCAATCCACTGTTTGGCCACCGACAGGAGCACCCACCAGCTGGCAGAGATTTCACGAGAAGCAGTGTTGCAACTCTCCTCTGAAAACGCTGAGCCAGGCTAAGTTCTGGTCAGCTGAAGCTCTCCTCAGACAACTAGTGAGCCCTCCCCACACCTGGTTTCTTTACGCTGGGTTTTCAGAGAATTTCAAACACTTAATGTACACATCCATCCAATCTATTTTTTATATAGAAGAACAACAAAAGCAAAATGTAAAAAAAAATTTTAAAAGCTAAGCAACCTTTCACAGAAAGGAAGTGACTGAAACATGTCGTAAGGAAAAGGAGCGTGGACACGAGAGGGGGAAACTCGATGACCGGTGGAAGGGCAGCTATCCACAAGCAACGACAAAAAGAATTTGTTCCTTCATCTGTGATTTGAACCGTGGTTGCTGCTGCTCTGATTGGGAACGGCTGTGCGTCAGTCCTCGCGCAGAGCCCCCACCCCCACACGAGAGAAGCTCGCCGAGAGACGGCTTGGCTGGTTTCATCCGCGGAGGCCGGCACGCGTGAAGCAACGCGAACTACTGATGATTGTTCGCTGGCGACGGACGAAACCAGCCACCTTCAAAAAACCATGATTGACGAGAACGAACCAGCACTGGCGGGAAGTGTGCAGCCAAAGGAAAACAAAACCCCTCTCACAGCCCAGGTGAGCACAAGGGGTGTGTTAGGAAGGGGGGACGGACTTTCTCATCTTTCTTTCCTTCCTAAAAATTTCAAATGTTTCAAGCACTTTCTTTTTACGCATCCTTTGTATGCAGTATGGAAATATAGGAGGTATCTGGTGACAGGGTACATTTCAAAATGGAAAAATATGCAACAGAAGTTTTCCAAAGATATTGGTAGCAGACTTCCAGATCAGAACAAATTATTCAAGGACATGCACTGAGGACAGAAGGCAGACAGGAGAAAGGAAGTGACAGGTCAGAACGGTGCTGGGTGCGACAAAACTGGATGAGCAAAACAGGTATCTTTTCTCCAGCAACACAACTCAGTATGGACGTTTAGATGAGTCCATCTCCCATTTGATGTCTTCACAAATCCTCGTTCCTGAGCGCCTATTTGGACTTATGCTTGAAAGGGAAGGGACGTACGTATACTCTTCTTTCATAATTCACTTCTTCATTCAAACATAAAATTCACTCCTTCCACCTCCTGGGTGAAGCAGAGGCATTTGTTTTAAATTAAAGTCAATTTCAAAGGACTGAACAGTGTCCAGAAGCCACATGATGGAAAAGTGGGAAAAAGCGAAGCACTTCAAGGATCTTCATAACAGTTCAGAGATCGCTCCCCCTGCTAAAGAAATCAGACACAAAAAGATTTCCTTTAGTATCAACTTAAACCAGCTACTGACCAGAGCAGAAATACTGACAGATGCTGGATGATGCATGACAAGCACACATGGGCTAGGAATCCCCCTCTAAGTTAAAACCAACTCCAACTCCCTGTTACTCTTCTTCATTGATGCATAATCCAAAACCCAAACCTCCACCCCGTACTTTCTCAGTATTGCCCCCCAAAGGGCACAAAAGGTGAAACGACCAGTTCTACACGTTCTCTAGGCGGCTAATTAACCATTCTCCAAGGTGTTAACGAATTGTGCAGTAGGTGAAGGGAATTAATTCTAAGGCATTACATAGCAAATCTCTCACATATTAGGGTGACTAGCCCCTAAATGATTAACACCCCTTTCCAAACACCCCTGTTCCTTCAGGGACGTTCTCATCACTTCAGAATCCCAAGTATGGTGAAGTGTTAATGAAAACTAGTGTTGATATTTCTGTGTGCCAACAACTGATCAATAAGTAAGATCCTCAACAGTAAAATCAAATGAACACTTTCCTGATTACTCCACAGAAGCTGTTCAACCTGTGAAGGACACCCTTAGATGGGCTGCTGTGAACTACTGACCGGGAAGCGTAAAAAGAGAACAAGGTAAAGGAAACTCTCCCAGGTATCATTGGGAGTGGAAGAGAACATGCCATTTGGAGGTAAAATGGTTAAAAAGTAATTGTTCAAGTTATAAAAGAAAAATACCCATTTATAAACTTTGCCTTTAATCTGATTTTTAAAGCAAAAATTAAAGTAAAAATGAAAAATGGCAATAAAAACATATTCCCATCCGCCGAGAATAAGACTGAAATCACAAACTCTCATGGATGCTGTATTGTCAAAAATCAAACTTAAACTTTATGTAATTCACTGAGATAAAGTTTATTAAGCACTTGTAATGCAGATCTCTCTCAATAAAAAACATGATAATTAACCTCCGGAGTTTATTTCTTAAAAATCTTGATATAGAAGAATCTACACCACCACAACTATCATGCCTCTAACACTTTAAGGTGAGTTTTGCTGACTATCCTCCCAGGGACCCTAACCAATCACATTCTAACAGTTTAAAATGAATACAACATTGACATTTTAAGCCTAAATCACAACAAAAACAAAACAAAACAAACCAGAGCAATCACACTGAGGCAGACAAGATACACAGAAACAGCAGCACCACAGAAGGCCTCCAGGCTGGTCTGCTCCAAGGACACTTGCTATTTAGTTGCAACAGAAAGGCAATCTGCAACACAGGCTCATGAGGAGCAGCTGCTACTGACACCTCCCAGTAGCAGCCCAAGCCGGGGTGGCCTTAGAAAATACCAGACCCTGATCTTTAAATGTTACCTTGGTCAGCTAGTAAAATCACAAAGAACAAAAAAGAATATCCAAATGGTTGTCTGAGTTTAACAGAAATTCATAAATTAGTCTTGACTGATCATTTTTTAAAAAGAGAAGAAGGGAATAAAAACCCTCAATACCAAGCGTTCAGAACAATCACGGGTTCGGGAGGTGCTCTGGGCCGGCAGCAGGGGGGCAGTGGAAGCCCGCGGGGAAATCTTCCCGGTGCCTGTGCGCCCCCAGAAGCGGTGCCTCTGCTCATTGTGGCCTTTGCCACCCCCACTAGATCCAAGCGCACACCAGCCCCTTCGTGCCCACATCACCCGTACGCTGACAGACCACAACTCTGTCACACTGGCTACTGAGGATGTTTGCTGCCGAAGAGTCCTAGCTAGTTCTTGGGCAATCGTCGAGCAGTCACAGGGCAACCGAGACACTGGTGGTCCTGCTCACACCTCAAGTTTCTGATCTGAGGACTGTCCTCTGAAGAGTATCTAATAAGGTAATTGTGGGGAACCTGATAGGTGCCATGTTGATCTGGCCTTTCCAAAAAGTCCCAAGGTCAGGGTCACCCTCACCATACTTCACTGACGGATCCTCCCTCATTACAGAAAGTGTGTCTTCATGGGTGTTGGTCCACGGGTGCTATCCAATACTGATGAGCTGTTTGATAGGAAAGAATCTTCTGTAGCCCTACATTCCAGATAGCCAGATTATTTCTATAGTGGTCTATGTGTCTTCCAATCTTCCCTTGAAATGCATAATGTCCTGCTGCAATATGAAACACTATAGCAGCTTTGTCAGGGCTTACTGCAGTGTCTTCAGTAACTGCTCAACTGCAGATATTAACAGACAGGTGTCATTTAGATATCTTGAGCAATAACACAACCTACACCTATAATCCTGCCCTTGAACAATTCAGCTGTAATGCAAAACTAGGGCATTGCAGGGGAGGGAAGGTCCACAAAACCTTAACTCTTATATTTGTATATAACCCTCAGACTGAACTGATTTTGGGGGTGTGTGTGAGATCCTTGCACAGGGGCCATGCTAATCTTTGTGTCGTCCCAATTTTAGTAGATGTGCTGCTGAAACAAGCACCCAAATTAAATTTTTAGGAAAGATTTTACTTATTTTGAGAGAGAGGAAAAGGGAGAGAGAGAGAGAAACATTAATCAGCTGCCTCCAGCACACCCCTAACTAGCGACCTGGGCTGCAACCCAGGCACATGCCCTGACCAGGAATTAAACTGCTGACCTTTTGGTCTGCGGGACAATGCCTAACCTACAGAGCCATACCAGTCAGGGCTGACTTTGACTCTTTTAGACACTTCTGAAGCACAGCTGAGAAACAGCACGGCGGTCGTGCTCCAGGCTGTAAACCTGACAGTACCTCCCAGTACCCTTGACAGAGGGCCAGTCAGGCAAATGCCCGAGATATTTAGTTACTGTTGGTGTCCACATCAACTAAAATTAAAAGCTGAAATCTCTGTAGTATATAAAGAGAAATGTGAGCTTTGAAAGCTTTAAATGGTTTATTTACTATATATTTACTATTATAAAGCAAATGATTAATTACAGAGAGCTTTTGAAGAAACTAGGAGACTATGTCGTAGAATATTTCAATTAATTCAAGATGTTTGGTCACATTTTAAATTACCCTGAAGCATTTCAGCAATCTGGGCCAGGAAGATCTACTTAAACTTTAAACTACATTTCTTCTGTAGTAGCATCAGCTTGTGCAAGAAATGGGTTGTGAAAGAATCATTTTTATTTAACGAGTCAACCACCCATCTGCAGTCTTTGCTGGCGACACCCAGAGAACTCTCTCAGACTATTTAAAGTACAGAGACGGAGGCGTGCGGGGACTGAACGTGGAGGCGGTGGTGGGTCACCACTGGAGCACCACCGGCGCTGCTGCCAGAAGACGTGGTGTGCTCAGCGGCCCAGTGTTGGCCGCTGAAAACCTGAACTAACTAGTTTGAAGCATGATACTCAAAATAATGCACGACTGAGTCTGCTTCAGCTCCTCTGGAGGATCCATGCGCATAGTGACTGACTGACTAAAGGCATAAACAAGGACTTCTGCTCCGCATTCCAGGGCACTGCATCTCATGTGGGTTCATGGAAAACGTTAACATTTTAAAGCAAGGGGGAAAAACCTGAATACAACCACACATTTTATCAATCTGGCCTCTTAAGTCTATTGACCTAGATGCAAAAATACTGAGAGTATAGTATTAACTAAAGTAGTGCTTCTATATAACAAAAAGTTTCTGTATAACAAAAAATGGAATCTGCCTACATTCACAAATATTTGATAAAAAACTGAAATTGTTCTCCCATCCCCAATAAAAATCCCTCAACATATAAAAGTCAGAAAACTCAGTAAATTTCAAAGGCTTAGGTTCTAAAGAGCTACATAGAGATGGCAGTTTCTGTCCTTTTGGTGATCTCCTTCTGTTTTTAAAAAACAAAACACCTCAATTTTCTTTTTTATCATGAAGGTACTACCATCAATGTCATTGTTGCCTCTAGACTACTGGGAGGGAGAAAAGGCTCTGGGATTTGAACAATCTGAAGAGACAGAGCGAGAAGAGATGCTACGGTTTAATAGTCGGGGGCTATATATACAAAGCAAGCTGATGGTTCTGGTTATCTGTACGGCTCTTTCATTGCAAGCAAAACAAAACATCTGGGAGCAAACACAAATGAAGGAGGGAATTAAACCAGGGGCTGTTATCCCTTTCCAGGGAGTGGATTCCAACAGGACTCTAATTAAAGGTATAGGCATCTTTCCCACACAAATATTCCCACAATATTCTGCTTCTAATATCAAGGGAATGTAGATTTCTTGAAATGTATTTGGGGACTCAGGGTTGAAAGCTACTGAATTAAGCCAATATGGTTTAGCCTGCCCTTATTGGCAGCTTAAAACTCAGAGAATATCTGCCACTTGGAAAAAGGAGGGAAGGAAGGAAAAAATGCTACAGGTAAACGGAGTCAGGGGCCGTACAAAGCAAGGCCACAAAGCAAGCCAGACAGCGCTCCCAATGTGTCCTTACCTGTCAAGGGCTGGCTGAGTTCCGCCTGCACTTTACCCTTCGCTGATCCTTCCAGAGGTAAACCTCTGTCCCCTTTGTAGAGTTTCGGTTTAAATGGAGAATCTTTCTCTTTACCTTTTGATCCTTTAGGCCGGCCTGCTTGCTTCTTCTTGGATTTGCCATCCCCCTTCACACCCAGTAGTGGATGGACTTCTGTGAAAGGACAGACAGGCATGGAAAGGAACCCAAACACCACCAGTCCCACTACCCAACTAAGTGCATGGCATGCCACGTATCCATGAGCAAAGTATGCTGCCCTCGTGTCCCAGATCTACTAATACAAGGAGGAAATTTTGTTTTGTTTATTACTTATGAAACTATGGGAAGAATGGCCGCTAAGAAACAGTTGCTTGGCTACGTGGCCTGCACCAAGCCACAGCGGCTCTAAACCGAACGAGCAGCTGAAGGACACACTGATACTGCACACGCCACGGCAGAACAGGAACGCCCACGCCCATGACGTCGCGCAGGCACAGAAAGGAAATGGGCTTTGGAAACTAGAGAGACCAGGGTAAGAACCCTGACTCAAACACGGGGTTATAAAGGCTTCCAGAGTCAGACTGCAAGAAGTAGGTAGGAGGAAAGAAAAGACTGTCCGAGTCTGACTAGTATTTTACCACCTAATTAGATCATGGGGTAGGGGCAGGGTGAGAATGGTGGCACACTGGCAGAAACTCGGAGCCAGACGTCAGAAGACTCGTGTGTTGTCATCTTAGGTAAAGTACCGAGGGCGGAGTCTCCCCGTTTTGACAGGAAGTGAAAGCACATAAAATCATTACTAAGTTGTAAAGCACTATAAAACAACTCGTGGGAAAATTCCTTTAAGGTAAAATCGAAGAAACAGGAAATTACCAGATTGTGCTGGAGAGTAAAAAGTGGTATCTATTGGGCAACAGAGAGAAGACGCGGCTCTTACCATCGTTTGGCACTCCTTGAAGTTCTATGTTGGTTGTTTTGGGTTTCTTCTTAGGTGGCTGGGACCCATCTGCTGAAGACTGCCTCTTCTTCTCTGAACTAGCGCCTTCGTCCATCAGGGAGGTTTGGACTGCATCTGGCGGGGGGCCGTAAGGATTTTCTTCTGGGTCTTCTACCTCAGGGGCAATGGGTAAATACAATAGAGCCTTTGAATCTTCCAGCTCTTCATCACTATTTGGAACAAGATCAGACAAGGGATTGGAAAAAAGAGGAACAGTTGCTTAAAACAATAGCCCTTCCTCTAGGACAGAATCACCTATATTAACCATAAGCAACATGGATGGATCTAGAACTTTAAGAAAGCCAACAAGAATGAAAGAAAAGCAGGTGACATGATTAACAAAATCATCAGTAAAATTAAATAGTATAAATAAGTTATTTCAGTTTAAGGTTTTCTGTCAGGGGAGGAAGGAGGGGGTTTCTTGTACAACAAAGCACCCATCTCTTGGACTAATAAGCAGACGGGACTGAAAGGCCTGCCGTGGGGAGCTGAGAAGCACAACACCGGAGACGAGGAGGAGGACAAGAAGGGGCATTGGAGGCCTAGCCCTCCCGGTGGCTCACCTGCTACAGAAAGCAGCAATAGGATCCACGCTGGTGACATCCACCTCCTCGTCCTCAGCAGCATCAGCCCCTGCAGGACAGAAACACGGCAGAGGTGTGCACAATGCAAAACTGCTCTTACTTCCAGCTCAGTGATTTTTATACACTGCAGTTCTGAAGACACAAAGGAGGAAGACGAAACAGTTCATTTTACGTAATCATTCAACAAATATGTGCTGAATCCCCACCGTGTGCTAGACAGACACTGGGACCACAGTGATGACTAAGAAGTTGGGAACACTTCTTCAGTAAAAGCATCACAGTCTAACTGAGAAGACAGACATTGATGGATCATTTCAATTCAACAAGTGCTACAGTAAAGGTACGTTCAACAAGTGCTAAATAGACGGGAAGGAGGAACAGCTTATGTGAAAGTTTGGGAAGGCTTCACAGAACATAATCCAATGATACCAATACAGTCCAGCACATGCTGCATCCCTGGTGGCCTTCCTAAAACACAGGGGGCGTGTAAGTTATCTAGAATTACAAATGAGGGACCTAATTCCCAGCACCACCAAAGTGACCAGTGGCATTAATTACTCACTGACAGTGCTAAGTGGGCAGACTAAGCATTCATACACACATAAACCCCTACTAGATACAAAGCCTTGTGTTACACAGATGCCACGGAGGCAAAAAGTCAAGTCTTCATTCTCAAGGAGTCTCCTTGATATAAAATATCAATGAGATAAAAATATCAAAGATTATCATGAGAACAGAATGCCTGTTACACCTAGGCACTGTACCAGTGCTTCAGGTGAAGTAGCTCATTTATTCCCCACAGCCCTAAAAGCAAGGTTTTAGTATAACCACTATTATACAAATGAGAACATTCAGGTTTAAAGAATAAGTATTTTTCTGAAGACAGTATAACGCTAAAGCCCGCGCTCTTTACCTTCACCTCACTGACAAAGATGTGACAGCACATGACACAGCTGAGCACCCAGCCTGTGTGGGACCTGTGCTAAGCGCTACAGGTAAATCCTCATTTAATCATCTGTAGTTCGTCAGGAAATACAAAGTGAAACGTTACGAGATCTGTTGAACCCTAGTAATAATGCCCATGTAAGCCCTTAGTCAATTAAAAAAAAGTGACATTTCAGCCCTGGCTGGTGTGACTTAGTGGATTGAGCACAGGCCTGTGAACCAGAGAGTCGCCAGTTCAATTCCCAGTCAGGGCACATGCTGGGGTTGTGGGCCAGGTCCCCAGTGGAATGCACATGAGGCAACCACACATCGATGTTTCTTTCCCACTCTTCCGCCCTCCCTTCCCTTCTCTCTAAAAATAAATCAATAAAATCTTAAAAGTAAATAAAATACAAAAACTGACATCTTAGACTAAGTGATGAAATAAATTTTCGACACAAATTAAGAATGAATAAAACAATCATTTTTCCTTTGGGAAATACTGCCCGCAATTGAGCAACATTACCTGTCTGCTCCGGCTCACTCTTATCTTCATCTTCAATGTCAAACTCTGATTCCCTTTCCTCGTATTCTACATTTTCATCCAATTCTTTGAAGTCTGGTGCAAAGGCACTCCAGTTTTCCTACGCCACAAACAAAATACACCATGTGACCATGTAAGAAAGCGACAGTCAGTAACCCAGACATAATGACAGAAAGACGACATGAACATGAAAGCTACTTAGAAGTCTCAGATCGAATTTGTTGGATAACAAAAATTAATTATCTACAGGTTTTACTATATTAAGATATTTCTATCTTAAACATCCCAAGTTATTATTAACTATAGTTCTTTCACAAAAAACTGCCATCTTTGATCATTTTAAGATGTAACCCTGAGGTAAAAGCAACTCCAACTCCAACGTACTCTTCTTCTGCACTGAGGCAGTAACCCCAAACCCAAACCTCCACCCCAGACTTTCTCCGTACTGCCCCAAAGGGCAAAAACGGCAGAATGATCAGAGTTCTGCACATTTTCTGGGCTGCTAATTAATCATTCTCCAAGGGGTTAACTAATATTGTTTGCATCCAAAAAGTGCAGTAAGTGAAGGAAATTCTAGGGTACTATATCTTCAAATCTTTTATATATTTGACTGATTTTTTAAAAAGATTTTTAAAATTTATTTATTTTTAGAGAGGGAAGGGAGGGAGGGAGAGAGAGAGAGAAACATCAATGTGCGGTTGCTGGGGGCCATGGCCTACAACCCAGGCATGTGCCCTGACTGTTTGATTTTTATAAGTAGACTGATTACAAAGGCATTCAAAATAAAACCAAGATATAAAACATATACTGAGTTGAAAATAAGAAGAGCAAAACAACAATCTTTCTCAGATAAGAAGTGGAAAAACATAACAAAGCCCAAGATCATCCTGCCAAAATAAAGCAAAGCTAGATACAGTGAACCTATTTAATTAGGTTACAAGAATCATATGCAAAAAAAGTAAATAAGGTAATTTTTAGCTTACTATTTGTAAAATTCTTTGAAAAAAAAGAAGAGTTTCTAGTTTCAAAGCAATTAAACCAGACAAGTACTTACTACTTGATTTTGCGCCCAGATAGATACCACTCCACTAGAAATGGAAGCTATGATGGGTCGAACAGGATGCCACTAGATTTGATGAAGGAAAGAACAATCAGTTCTAAGAACGAACCCAAGATGTTTCTGTACTGCCTAAGTAACAAGGCAACCTCTCACTCTACTCACAGCTACATCCAACAGGAGCTCTCCTCTCGTCCCGTGCAGAATCTTCACCAGGTTGCCTATGCTCTTCTCCCAGATGTACAGGGCATGCTGCCGGGCCGAACCTGCCACTATGTACTCTCCATCCCCAGAGAAACAGCATTTCTTCCACGGGGTCCTAAAGGACAGAGGAAGCACCCAAAGCAAACTAGAACCAGAGCCCAGGTCGTGAATTATCACACACACTTCTAGGCTGTGATACATACCTGTTTACCAAGTCCTGCAATTTCTGCATAGGTTCCGGCTCTCCATCTCTTCCACAGGTTAAGATTTCTCTGCCATCATAAACTCTGATTATTCGATCTGCCGTGTTAATTAAAAAGCAACTACAGAAAGGAGAAAAATGTCAACACCAGAGTTCAGGAATTTGTTTCCATTAACATTTTCTATTATAAGCTGTTACTTAGCACAATACCATAAAACAACTAATAAATTGGGGAGAGACTGAGGAAAGATCTAAGTGGTGAACTTGAGTATTTGTCACCTCCTACACCAAAATTTCCTTTGAAGTGAGAGCGTGTTACACACTCCCTGTTGCCCTTGAATCTTGTGTGTGCAAACTAACCAACTGATCATCAGTCTTCGCCTAAGACCCGAGACCTGTACATTGAAACCAGCTTGCTGAACTCACAAGGACACAGTTAAATGTACATAAATACTTCATTTCTCTGGCCTGTTTTATATATAATAGTCTTTTAAATGAATCCATAAACTATTTTAATTTAAAAAATAAAATAATGACATTAGAAATCTGTTAAAATATGCTATTTCATGCCTTCTCCCAGACTTTACTAACTAACCTTTTCTTAAGAGAACTGTGAACATGAATGTCCCCGAAACACGTACGGGTGCTCCTACAGGGAACAGGGTGACTGTTACCTCTTCTACTGATAACCTATTTCTTCCTGTTTCTGTTGATATATCTACTTCTAGTTGGGTAACCAAACCTACCAGAAAAACTCCTGTAATTAAAGAGATAAACAGGTTTTATGTGAGTAAAGTATATGTTCAGTTACCAGATGAACCCTGTGACATCATTCCTTATAACAGCTAATCATTATGCAGGCTGACTGTGTGCCAGGCACCTGGCGGTCAGTGCATGTCGCTCTTTTCTGTAAAGGGGCAGCCCAGTCACCTCCAGTCACAGAAGGTGGGGATGCTGGTTCAATGTGGCAAATTTTATGAACTTAAGAACCAGATAGTGACAGCTTCTAATAACTATTTTTTAAGTAAACTTTTAAAACCTTTGAAGTATAATATACACAAAAACTGCGAATCTTAATGGTATTTTGTATCCCACTCAATTTTAAGACTGCCCCTAAAAAGACAAGGCCTCACCTCCCCTTCCGGGCAAACTCTATGGACTTAATGGCTGTGGTATTGCTTGTTCCAGTTGTTACTCTGAAGGAAGCAACAAGATCCTGAGAATCTGTTTTTAGGACCAAAATCTACAGTTAAAAAAAAGAAAAAGTAAAAAGTAAGTATTCTGGTAACGTACAATAATTAGATTTAGCTTATGTTTCTAAAACTAGACAGAGACTGGGAAAATATAAACATTTTATTCCCATGTATTCAACCTGATCAACTGGTGTTGTCTTTTACCTCTTCGAATAAAGGATAGTGTCTCCCTCTATTCTTAACATATGTTTAGTGTTACAATCAAAACAGATACATGAGTAAACAAAACGTAGTACACACATACAATGGAATATTATTCAGCCTTGAAAAGAAGGTAAATTCTGGCATGTGCTGAGCATGGATGAATCTTAAGGACATTATGCTACATGAAATAAGCCAAAAAGACAAATACTGTATGAATCTACTTATATAGAGCACCTAAAGTAGCCAAATTCACAGAGACAGAAAGCAGAACAATAGCTGCCTGGGGCGAGGGCCAGGGAGAGCAGGGAATAAGGAGTTATTGTTTAATGTTTTGCAAGATGAAAAGAGTTTTAGAGATGGACAGTGGTGATTGATGGCTGCATAACAATGTGAATGTGCTTAATGAACTATATACACTTAATAGTTACAGTGGTAAATGTTATATATACTTTATATATTTTTACTATGAATTTTTAAAACTGTCACTTTCTAAAGTAGCCATAAAATTATACTAGCCTATGTGTCCTAGTCAAAAAATTTTAAAAAAGGTACTTATTGAAACTATAAACTCTAAGTTTAAGAGAGATCTTAATACTCACCTAACCTGACTTCTTACTCTGCAAAACTACAGGTTAAACTGGCCTGAATTATACAACATTTACAGAACTATGTATATTCATCAGCAGTATTCCATTTCATAATGACTTTTCAAGTTTATAAATCAGTAACGGCTCTCCACTAATAGCGTCCAGTGAAGGCCCTTCCATCGTTTCCTAGGCCACACGATCTCTGCCCACTCTAAGTCCAAAGGACAGAAATTATTAAGCATGAGAGAAAAATAGGTTACATCTGCCACAGGCAGGAGGCATGCTTACTGCGGGGATAAAAGAAATTTCAAAGGAAGTAGCAAAGTACACATAAAATTAACCAAAGCACAGGATGACTAAGGCATGTTTCACTGGCTTCTAGGCTTACCTTGCCTTTTGCATTTCCTGTATAGATATATTCCCCTCGCCTATCAAAAGAGGCAACCACATTCAAGTCGGAGTCATCATCTACCGGCAGAACAACATGTTTGGAATCTGAAAGGGTCAACATGACAGGAGCAGATTTCATGGGACACACGAGAACCTTGTTCCTGTTTAAAAATACGAACAGTACATTGGCTATTGCTTTAGCATCAGTAGACAGATTCCCTTGCCATTCTCCCTAATCCCTATACACTACCCTCACTGACTCTTCAAGCCCAAGCAAATGAATATAGGGGGGAAAAACCCTAAAATCTAAATGTCTAATAATAGGGAAATGACCGAGTAAAGTTATTGATATAATGTAATCACTAAAAATGGAAATGTAGTAGACTAGTAAAATATGTATGAAATAAAGTGAAAAAAGCAAAATACTAATGAAATCCATATAAAAATACATATTTATGTGCATTAACATGCATATCCATGCTCTGTGAACTATAAAGCACCATGTAACAACTTTGTATGTAAAGAGTACTTGACTAAAAGAGAACCCACAGAAATGGAGACAATTATGTCTGGGCAATGGAATGATGGGTAACTCTTAAATGTAGTTTTAATACTGAACAATTCCCCTACTAAAAAATTCAAACAATGGGGGAAGGGAGAGGTCAAGAACTAGTTATTATACTTACTCCTACCTTTGCCCATTTCCAAAGTCCCAATTTTGGGCAGCTTTTAATTATGTAACATTCTCCATAAAATCTATTCAGTCAAGCCACTAGACAGAAAGCCTTTGTATGTTGAAGGTTTAAAGAGATGTGTGTATTTGACTCCTAAAACCTTAAACTGAAATTGTATGAGCCTGGAGCTAATGCATATAGAGTTAGACCCACCCCAGGAAAGAATAGGTCAGATTAAACATACTGATCTCGTGGATGATACTGGACTTTTAAGATGGGTGAAGGAAATCGAAACCTCTGGTCACAGTCGCCTGAAAGAACATCCCATTGTGACACTATGTTATCCGTGGAAGCACTCACGAGCTTATGACCATCTCGACTCCAGCTGAGAAGAAAAAAAATGGGTAACTTAGTACATATTCTAAAGCAAAGTATACCGTACCACTCCTACAGACAAAAATGCACAAATCACACATATTGCCCTAATTACATGGGTCAATATTTCTTTTTTAAAACATATGCTCAGCCCTGGATGGTGTGGCTCAGTGGATTGAGCATGGGCCTGTGAACCAAAGGGTCGCCAGTTTGATTCCCAGTCAGGGCACATGCCTGGGTTGCAGGCCAGGTCCCCGGTGGTATGTGTGTGAGAGGCAACCACATACTGATGTTTCTCTCCCCCTCTTTCTTCTTTCCTTCGCCTCTCTCTAAACATAAATAAATATTTAAAAACAAAATGAAAAAAAAAAAAAAAAACATATGCTCAAATCCACAACATGCTTTCCCAACTAAGCAATAAATACAAATGTTTTCATGACACTTTCATATCTAGTAAAAGAAGCTCTTAATAGTTCAAGATAACTGTAAGTGGCTCTGTGAAAGAACATACTCAAACATTTTAGACTAGAGTCAGTAAGCCCATGAGTACTGATATAACAAAAAAACAGGTTTTTTCTTGGAGATGGGGAGGGAATATCTGAGCTTTCTGAGATTGTCCCTCAGAACATAAAATAATAAAGATAAGTATCCATTATTTAAAATCATTAAGAAAAGAATGAATTCCCCGTTGCTAACTACATCTAAGCACCCTGGCCATTATACATAAACAAACAGAAAAAGACTCTGAAAAGCAGAGAGACAGCAACTGGTTAGTGACTGCAGGGTAAAAAAAAAAAAATGACATGATAGTTTCTTGGATGTTCTTTCTGCTTCCTATGACCCGGATGTCCTGGACCAGGTGATGGAGAAGCCAACAACACAGTAATACCAATGGGTACACACTTTAAAAAGGGCTCAAGAAGAGCCTGCTTTCTCTAACCAAAGGATCAGGAAAAGACAAACCAGAGAGACAGAAAACATTTAGACAATAATCACTTTACTTCAGCAACCACCACAGAAAAAACTGCAACCCCAGTCTAAAGGTCTAAAGGTCTAACAAGGTCTAAATACAGAGTCTAGACTTCCACTATGGCCCAGTTACTGCAAAGCCCCCTTCCCTCCTAACTGGGGTCAGAGAAAGCTCAGCGGAGAGCCAAACTTTCATACCTACCAGGTGGTAATGAGGATCCCCACTGCAGTGCTGTGGAGACCAGGTGGGGAACAGGAACAAGGCAGTCCTATCCTTCCCAGCCAAGACACTACCAGCCTAGGAGGCCCGGTGAAGAGCCTGAACTTCCAAACTTACCCAACCTAATGCAGCCAAATGAGAAACTTGGACTTCTAACCCATCTGGCAATAACAAGATGGTACCTTCTCATCCTTCTGGTGCAGTATCAGAGGAGGCCTGCTAAGGCACACAATTTAAATAATAAATAAGTTCTCAAGTCTCACAACACCCAAAAGGCCCAAGTTTCAACTGAAAATCACCATCAATCCAAGAACAAAAAAAAAATTTGAACTTGAATGAGAAAAGACAATCAACGAATATTAACACAGAGATGACATAGATGTTAGAATTATTGACAAAGATCTAAATGCAGCCATCATAAAAATGCTTTAATAAGCAATTGCAAATATACTTGAAACAAACAAACAAAAAACAAAGTTTCAGCAAAGAAACAGAAGATATGGAGAAAGAAGAACTGAAATGGGAACTTGAGAACTAAAAATTAAAATAACTAAAATAAAAAACTCAGAGATCAATTCAGCAGCCAATGAAGGAAGAGGAAAGAATCAGTAAATAAAATAAAAAATTTCCAATCTGAACAATAGAGAAAAAACAGACGAAAAAAAAAAAAAAAAAAGAACAGAGCCTCACAGGCCTGTGAGACAGAATAAAAGACTGAAAACCCAGTCATCAGAGTCCTAGAAGGACTGAAAAAGATGGGGGCTTCAAAGTGTTTGAAGACACAATGGCTGAAAATTTCCCAAACTTGGCAAGAGATTTAAAACCTACTGATTCAAGAAGCTGAATGAACATCAAACAGGATGAGCTCAAAGAAATCCACTCCAAAACACAGAGACAAACTTCTGAAAACTGAAGACAAAGTAAAAAATCTTGAAAGCATTAAGAGAGAAACGATGCTACCTGTGGGGAACAATTCACATGACAGATTTCTCATCAGAAATCAAGAAGGTCAGAAGGAAGTGACACATTTTTCAAGTGCTGAAAGAAAAGAACTGTCAACCCAAATTCTATATCCAGTGAAAATATCTTTCAGGTACAAAGAGGTAAATAAAGACATTCATCACCAGCAGATCTACCCTAAAAGGTAGAGCTCAAGTAGAGCTCAGTAGATTGAATGTGATCCTGCAAACCAAAGAGTTGCCTGTTGGATTTCCAGTCAGGGCACATGCCTGGGTTGCGGGCCAGGTCCCCAATGGGGGGCGCATGAGAGGCAACCACACGTTGATGTTTCTCCCCCTCTTTCTTCTCCCCTTTCCCTCTCTCTAAAAATAAACAAATAAAATCTTTTTTAAAAAGTTCTCTAAATGGAAAGGAAATGATAAAAGAAGAAATTTTAGAACATCTGGAAGAAAGAACAATGGAAAGATAAAAATATTAGTAAATAGAAACTTTTTTTATCTTCTTGAATTTTGACATGAAGCAAAATTACAATACTGTCTTATTTGGGTCTCAACATATATGGAGGAAATATTTAAGACAATTATAGTATAAACAAAGGAGGATAAATGGAGGTAAGGTTTCTTTATACTTCACTTGGACTGGTAAAATGTCAACACCAGCAGATAGTGATAAGTTGTGTATATATAATACCTAGTAACCGTTAAAAAGCTAAGGAAATACCCTAAAAAATACTACTGATAAATTAAAATGGCATTCTAAAAAATGTCCAAGAAACCCATAGGAAAGCAAGAAAAAAAAGTGAAAAACAAAAGAAACAAACAAACAAAAAAAGAAACTCCAAACCAGTATTTACCCAAATTTTGCAACAAAGAGAAGTTACTATTAAGCACTTAGCAGGCAATATAGCTCCACTGTTAAGAACACAGACTCAAGAATCAGACTTGTGCCTGGACATTACCACCTTCTATGCTGTTTAATCTTTGGCAAGTTACATGACCTTTCTAAATTTCAATTTCCTCATCTATTACATGAGAACAATAATAGTTACTACCCACAGAAGACTATTGAATTAAAATTAATACACATAAAACTTAGCCCAATGCTTGACAATGAGTGTTCAAAAAACATTAGCAATTATTTGTATCAAAGACAAGATAAATGTACTCCCAGACTTAGGACATGAGGGAGAGAGGAAGGCAGGGGTAAAATGAGGAGGTGAATATGAAGGGATTAAGTTCAAGTCTAATTACAAAAGGACTCTGGTGCCTCTCTCCCACCAGCTCCAGAGCAGCTCTAGAACACATGCAGTCAGGTTTACCCCTGAGAAAGGCAATCAGAGACTCCTCCTAGAGCAGGTAAACTTAAAAAACTTTGAAGAGGCCTACAGATGCTGTAACTTGTGGGTTCACAACTAAAAAAGCCAGCATGCCATCCAATATCAGGAGATGATAGGAGGGGAAGAGGATGAGCTAAAACTCACACTATAACAGGAACTCTATGGGTAATTCTGAAATAAACCAAGAAAAGTGACATACATATGTTATTTAAAAATGTGAAAATACCAGAAGAAACAGGTAAAAAATTGGAAGTCCAATAGGAAGGAAACAACATTAGGAGTGGGTAGAAACAGGGGACAGCTACTGCTGCTGTTCTTGTAAGCCTCTCAGCATGATTTTACTACAGAACAGAATGTTACCTATGATTTCATTTTTTTATTTAAATGCTTTTGCACATCTTTTGCTTTTACAGCAAGATTGTATTTCTGTTATAATAGAAGAAACCTAATTTTAAAAATTCAATTATAAACAAAGGTAAAAACTAAGAGGGGTTCTTAGTTCATTAGTAATTCTTCAATTCCAAATTTCTTTCCAAAAGACATATGAGTCTCTGCTAAGTCTAATGTCTTAGCCTTAAAGATCATTCAGCTCTCCCCACAGCCCCCTCCAGTGTTGAATTCATTATGTAGCATGCCCAAGAAGCGGGCAGCAAGCCCAAGCAGGGATAGTCCCACTGATAAACTACTTCCTGTGCAACCCATCCCACCCACAGACACCTCTGCTTGGGAGCTCTTCTTTACTCTGAGTTAACATTTGTTTCCCTGTAACTTCTGTCTGTTAGATAACTAGTCCTGCTTCTACCCCTTGGGCCAATTTTCCTGTCCTATACACGTCAACTTTTTCATCGCTGAAGACAGCCATCATGCCTACCCAAAACTTCTCTTAGGAAATTTTCTTAGTCTCTAATATGTTCAAACATTATGCCACAAATTAAATAATACATGAAGTTATATTCTAAATAAGGCTGATCAAAGAAAAACACAAAATGCATTTAACTACCAATGATATGTAATAAGTAGATGGTCTTTAAAACTTATACCTAAATTAGGGAACAGTTAAATAATTATAATGCATACATACCATGCTCTACAGTCACTAAATCCCAAATGCAGTTCTTGTACAGGACCTGTAAAACTTTAGTAATGTACCTGTATGCACATGCACCCCTCCCCCAATCTTGTTCTCCTTATTTGTTTTGTGTGCCCAATGTCTCCAGTACCTGGGACATAATTCATATTCAATGTCTGCCGAATGAATGTACGAGAGAAAAACTTTATGCATGAAGACATTCACTAAATGTTATGAAACAAAGAAATAAACAAAAAGGTTAAGTAAATTATGGTTTATCTTTCAGAAGATATACAGGGGTGGGCAAAAGTAGGTTTACACCTGTGAGTACACAAAAGTTTATTCTTATAAAAATTATTGTATTATTTTCCATACAAACAACTGTAAACCTACTTCTGCCCACCACTATATAGCCATGAAAATTTTTTTAAAGGCGATGCAAGCAGGAAAATGCCT